GGTTTTGGTCCTACGGGCTTCAGCGGCTTCAGGTTTCAATCCCTTACATTCGTTTGTTTGAGACGTTTCGGGGACGGAGGCTGCAGGGTGCCCATAAGCAGGTCCTCCCACTGCGCAGATCTGTTGCGAGCTCGGATAGAACTGCAAGCCTTTCCTGGTTATGATATCGGCCGTCCGTTGTCGTTGCAATAGCTTGGTGGTGTGTTCCGAGTTGGTGCTTGCACCCTCGACAGGAGAATGTCGTTGTTTAGCGCTTTCAGTTCGGAATACTGGCGTCAACAAGTCCGGAAGATGACATGAGTGTTCGTCCTAGCAGCACAGCGTGCTTATGATTTCTGGGTTTTCTGACTGTGCATAGGAAGTTGACATCGGGTCGGGTCGTGTCCATTTGCAGACGTTTGCGCGTGAGAATATACTATTGCTTTTGCTGTTGCCAGACGCAACTACTACTTGAAGGTTCATGGGTAGTTATAAGTGAGGTTATAAGTAAGGTATCTGTAATTTTAAACCACATTGGGGGACTTCGGTAACCCCAGACTTATAATACACATGAAGCCTACTGAGACCTGGAATCCCCTGTGCGACTTTTAGCGGCTTGCATGGTTCGAACGACGAATCCAAGCTGGATTGGATGTGTTGTCGTGCCGTGTTCGGTGTTAAGGTCGTTTGGGCCTCTATGCCTCACGACCTCAACGAGCTAGCGGAGACACAGCAGCATCAGCACGGCCAGAAGCGCTACTCAGCTGCATATCGGTATTTCTGTGTTCACGAACTCACGTCTAGGAGCTGATGTTTTGTACTGCTGCTTGCTCTCTTGAAGCAAGACACACAAGCTTCCAGCATCTGAGCGATCTTCTGCCACTGGGTGTTCTTTCCATCTCTCATGCCCGAAGCCCGAAACCTATCGAAGAGCGAGTTGCGACAAGCGAACTCATTGCCAGCTTTGCGATAGCATGGCTGGTGTTCATGATGCCGCGAATCCTTGGACGCGGCGGCATTCCGACGATGATGATGAGGAAGTGGTGTTGAAGAAGAAGGTCATTATCTGCACGGCCAACATGATCTTTATGCCCTATATCATCCTCATGGTCAGGTTCACCTTGATCGCCACCATGACGCAACTGCCATCCCCCAAATGTCCACAACTCTGAATCAGATGATACGCAAGCTCACTTGAGCCTCGAGGCCACAACTTCGAAGCCCCAATCTGCAGTGGCCAACACCAACTACACGAACCTAACTTGGTACGGTTTTCAAGCATGGGCCAACTTTCTTTCAGATAGACTCAGGTATAGTTGAGGGAGCAGGCCTTAGACAGCGTTTGCCCCAAAATGAGGTCTCGTCGCACCTCCGAGCTGCCCTGATCGTCTGGATTTGCTGAAGCCAGGGGGCTAAGGATTGTCAGGGTTTCAGAAGCCCGGCTGCCCACCCGGCCACAGGCTATTTTTGTTGTTGCTGCGCATCTTTTGTTGCAGTATTCATGGATTTGCCGCTCTTCTCTGCAGAAAGCAGGAGCAGGCTGATTCTGGCGGGATTCGAGTCCCGCGCCCCGAACCACAGGGGTGGCATCCTTGCATTGCTTGGAAGCTCTTTCAGAGAAATCCATGCAAAGGGGCTGAGCTTTCTGGTCCAGAAACCAGCGTTCCGAATTCGCTTAACTTAGCTTGTGCAGGTCCTGGGGTTCGAGTTCGAGTCGTGCGCTGATATTGGCATGAACATATCGATCGTTCACCCATGTGCAAGCATGCGGCTATGATGTCTTCTCTCTCTCTCTCTCTCTCCCTCCCTCTGTACATGTATACACACGCAGACATGAATAGAGAGAGAGAGAGAGAGAGAGAGAGAGAAAAAAAAAGAAAAGAGAGGGTGTGTGTGTGTGTGTGTTGTTCGCTACGAGATATAACGCTGTACCGCGCTAGCATGCCAACCAGGAAAACACACGATTGTTTCGTTTCGTGATTTTGTCAGATGTCTCGAACCCCCGCTCCTGCGTCCTTGAAGCCTAAGAGCTCTGGGACCTTTAAGCTTTCTGGCCTCCGAGCTGCAGCACGCGTACCTGTCGGGGCTTCTCTCAAGTGTCAGCATCTCTTCTGATTCTTGGGTGTTGACGGGCGCTTAGATCCAAAATGGTTCATGTGTCGAAGCGCTGACCTGTAAAGCCCGGTCAGTGCTGCATTGCTCTGCGCAGCTTGCGACCCCACCGCGTTCGGGAGGGCGCTTCTAGCGGCGGTTAGGTGCAGAGGAATCCCTCCCCGTGGCGAACACGCCCTGGGAAGTGGTCTAGGTTTACGGTGGGGTTGTGGAGGCCTGGGCCCATCAGCAAGATATCGTTGTTGCTTGAAGACATGATGCTGTTTCGAGATTACGGTTGCCAGCCAGGCAAGGCCCGCTGGAACCCTATGGCGTCAAAGCATCCCTCGACAAACTCCTTTGAACCCTGAGTCTCAGGACCATTGACATTGTTTAGGATCTAGAGGCATCTTTGGGAGTTCAGCTCGCTTGGCCATACCATTTGGGAAGGCTCTGGGAAGGGCTCCTCGCACTGCGCTGACATGCCCAAAAGGGGCTGCAAAAGCAAGATGGTCGGATGCAGCTTCGAACCCCAAGAAGCCGTTGCACAAGAACTGACCTCTGTATAGGTCTGCAAAGGTCGAGGTTTGAGTAGGCTGTTGTTCTCTTAAGCGCTAGCTCATCAGGCTTGTCCGGGTTGTCGAAGCATATACCCTGAACCTCATAAATCTAGGTGATGAGAGGCAAGTTCTTGCCAAGTCGGAGGCCTGAGGCATCCTGAGGTAAAGTTTCCGGAGACCCCAGGGGTGAAACCATGAAAGACTCGGAGCCCCTCAACCTATAGATGGCGGTGTCTTACAGATAGGGGCACTTTTTCATTTTCAAACTCTTCAGATCCATATTATATATATATGCCAGGATCCTGCAAGTCAGCCATGTCAGCCTCGGGGTCCCTGCATCGGTGAACTGAACGAACCGCTAAATCCGAATTCGAGGAACTCTTATCCAAACCCTGCCCATGCCCTGAGAGCCTGAGAGTCCCTAGACGCTACAGCCGCCTTCCAGAGTTTGTTTGTATTTCTTGGTTTTCAGATACGTGCCACCGTGCACTAATTTGGCCATCTCGAGTTCGACTCCGTAATCCACCTTCCGTCCCAAACTTCCCCCAGATCTGGCCAGGTGGTCTGTCTCCTCGCCTTCCAGCGCTTCCTTGAAGCTCCTTTTCTTCAAATCTGGGATCCTTATTTTGAATGGTTTCGTGCGGTTGTATACAAGGGGTTCACGGGATTGTTCGTAGGGGTGAGAAAAAGGTTGCACTACTTAGGAGTTCTGTTGTAGGGATCATACGTCTACATGCCTGTTCTCTTTTGGGCCTCGAGGTTTTACTAGTTTTGAAGGGTGGGGCTGCTAAATGCTGGCTCCCAACATCTTCCGATTTGAGGGCTTCGGTTGTTTCATAGGCTACTAGTAGCTATAGATCCGAGGGTGCCGGCCAGGTTGAGGCCCAAATGCGGGCTCGCGGACATGCAGCCCCACAATATCCTGTGCTGAAAGCTATATATACTATACCAGTTTCCTGCGAGCTTTCAGAGCGCGTGCTGTTGGTTCTAACAGTGGGAGGGCTACTTCGTCGCGATTTCCATACAGGCTTTCGTACACTTAGACATGACTTAGACATGTACCTGGATGCTGCAAAATCGCACCCTCCAGGAGGTGTTTCTTTCTACGTGGAGGCTGAGGCTGCATCAAATCGTGGCGTTAGCGCACCTGGGGGCGGGAGTGGGGGAAGTGGCGGATGTGTGGATTATGTGGTCAAAAGATAGGCTCCGGCCCAGCGCCATGGACTTGGCAGATACTTCTCCACGTACTTGCCCCCCAACCAACGTACAGCCCCGAAACCCTACACCCTGAAAAAAGCGTCAAGGCTCCGGCTGCCAGCCGGGACCACATCCATGCCCTCATTGCTCAGGCGGTGTCGGTTCACTGGCATTGTCACTGTGACACGAAGTTTGAAAGGTGCAGATCGTTTGAACTGTTGCTACAGTCGTGACAATAGCAACCTCGTAGACAACGGTTACAAACGCAAACCCATGTTGCCGTCTGCAGAGCAGGGAATACGGAAGACAGGGAAGCAGCGGAACAACCACAACAGCAGCAGCAGGACTGCATAAATCCGAAACTCCTTCAGCATCCTTGATTCCTTCCATTGGCAAGGGGTGAGGTCTCCGCCAAACGAAGCTGTCAGCGTTAGTAGCGCTTGCTGTCAGTGTTCTCAAGCGTAAGAGGAGCAATACCACCAGAGCAATATGTAACCCTATAACGGCCCTAAGACCCTGGTACTAGCATGTCTCGCGCGCCAGCCTTTCGGCTCAGACTTGTTGGGCCTGACCTGACCTTCGCTTCTTGTTGTCTCCCTGCACCTTGCGGGGAGTTTGCTGCGGACGGGCGGGACAGGACCTGAGTCGTCCAAAGAGCTGTGTTGCAAAGAGTCCAGTCAAGTGATTGACATTGAAAGGTCTAGGGAATCGGGGATGTAAGACAAGAGGAACAAGCATTCCAAACCCGCATCGCAGGCGCAGGGGTCACGGGGCAGTAGTTTGAAGCATACCGTGGCATCAGCAGTATGCCACGTTTTCCTCAGCAAGTTGCCAAAGCTCAGAGTGCAGACCGATCTTTCCGAGGAGATTGGCAAGCTTGTCCTGAATTCCACGTCGCGCTCTGTAAATCTGAAGAAGGTGCAAATCGAGCTGAAGGAGCATGGGCATTTTCTGACCATGAGCATGGGTCTGCATGTTCGGGTGTGCTTATCCATCATCCGGTTCGCTGTTGAACCACCCCGTTGTGGGACTAATTGTAGTGTTGCCGTTGCTTGGCGAGGAACAGTACATCGTCCCGGGAGGCCAGACCCTTGAAGATTCGGATCGTTTGCCGCACTCTGGTTTGCAACAGACTCGGTGCTCATCGCGCACTTGCTGCATGTGCACGACCGCATGTCTGAGTTGGCAGCCCGATGGACGGCCACACCCAGGTCTGGTGGATTTTTGGAGGAGATGCAACTGCGACTTGGCATTCTTGATCCAGGAAGCTGCTCCTACAGGAGATGCCCCTGCATTGAAACCACAGATGCGGAGTGCGAAAGGGGGGGGTGAGTCGCAATCACGGCTGGTGTTCGCAGCAGGGACCGCAAGCTCTTCAGGAGACTGGCAACGTCAAAACGCCGCCTTGCAAACACTGTACGTATGTGCGTGTGTAGTTATGTATATTATATATATATATATATATACACATGTTCACACAGTCACATAAATCTGCTTGTTTCTGATGTTTATTGACTCTTCTTTCATTTAACTAATGGTGTGTTATTTGTTGTTATTTGGTATACATAGTATACCTCCCTATGTTTAGGGCTGTTACTGTTGATTGTATTGCTAATTATGATTCAGTATGACCCACTGGCCCACTCGTGCTTATGACTTAGCTGTTGTTTTTGATTATGTACTATTTATGCGTAATGTTCTTACTTTTCCATGACTGACATTAGTTGCTATTCTTATTGATATAGATATTTATATGTATATATGTATATGTCTATGTATATGTATACTTGTAGAAATGTACATATACATATACAAACACATGTATATACGGATATGTACCTATATGTATATTCATATATATATATATATATATATATATATATATATATACAAACACACATACGTCTTGAACTGGCGGTCATGGAACGCATGGCCTCAGCAGCTTCCGCACTCCGAGCCTGAATTGATGAGTGGTTAGAGTGTTCCAGTCGCCGTCTGCGTCGTAGCAGCGGCCGGTCGCAGCTGCAATGGCAAATGTCATAGCTCCAGTCTGCTTCACAGAGATTTGCTGATGATTTGTTCTCGGTCAAAATTTGAGTTTGATCTCTTAGCCAGTGACTTCGAAGACGAAGAAGAGGATTGTCGAATATCCTTCAAGGTGGTAAGCTCTTGCCAATACCTGCCGGCATTGAGAGCCTGCAGACATCAGACTGCTGCCATGGGGGTCTTTTGTCGCTATGGCCCATGTCCATGCCCTAACGGTCGACCCCAAACTTCGGCCTCGGAAAGCTGAGGCAGGGAAAGCGGCACCGGGAGATGGAGGAGCGGATCAGTTGTTGGTGGGAGTTGCAGGAGTGGCAGGAGGACCGGAACGGACGGTGGCAGCGGTGCCAGGATGAGATGCTGTGGGACTGTCGGTTTGCAAGTCGCGTTTTTGTTTGTCCTACGAGCCTAGTCGGATGCACCGAATCCTAAATATGTAGACGTTGATGACCCTGTGCAAATACATGTCATCTCAGGGCAAAGCCATGGGCAAGGGCATGGCCAAGGGCAAGCGCAAGAGCAACTATACGGGCGAAGGCAAGGGCAAGAGCTATGAAGAAGATGATGAAGATGACGAAACCTATCAAGCTTGGTTCTGCCGCTGCGAAGAAGACGAGGAAGCCGCTCTATTTTTCGAAGCTCGTGCCAAGGGCAAGTGCAAGGGCAAAGGCAAGCGCAAGAGCTGTGCCTGGCGCCGCTGCCAAGAAACCCGACTCTTCGAACATGGGGCCAAGTGTAAGCGCAAGGGCAAGGATAAGGGCGAAGGCAAGGGCAAGAGCTATGAAGAGGATGATGAAGATGATGCATATCTAGATGTCGAAGCTTATCAAGCTTGGTTCCGCCGCCGCGAAGAAGAGGAAGAAGCCGAGCTAGTTTTCGGAGCTGGTGCCACGTGCAAGGGCAAAGGCAAGCGCAAGAGCTGTGCCTGGCGCCGCTGCCAAGAAACCCGGCTCTTCGAACATGGGGCCAAGGGTAAGCGCAAGGGCAAGGATAAGGGCGAAGGCGAGGGCAAGAGCTATGAAGAAGATGATGAAGATCATGAAGATCTAGATGTCGAAGCTTATCAAGCTTCGTTCCGCCGCTGCGAAGAAGAGGAAGAAGCCGAGCTAGTTTTCGGAGCTTGTGCCACGTGCAAGGGCAAAGGCAAGCGCAAGGGCTGTGCCTGGCGCCGCTGCCAAGAAACCCGGCTCTTCGAACATGGGGCCAAGGGTAAGCGCAAGGGCAAGGATAAGGGCGAAGGCAAGGGCAAGAGCTATGAAGAAGATGATGCTGAAGATGTCGAAACCTATCAAGCTTGGTGCCGCCGCTGCGAAGAAGACGAGGAAGCCGTGCCATTTTTCGGAGCTGGTGCCAAGGGCAAGTGCAACGGCAAAGACAAGGGCCAGAGTTATGAAGAGGATGACGAAACCTGCGAAGGCTGGTTCCGCCGCATCGAAGACGCCCCACTGTACGAACACGGGGCCAAGGGCAAGCGCAGGAGCAAAGGTACGAGCAAAGGCAAGGGCAAGGGCCATGCAAGAGAATGACGAAACCCGTGAAGCCTGGTGCCTCCACTATGAAGAACAAGAGGAAGGCTGGCTCTTGCACGTGTGTGCCACAATATTCAATGCACTGACGAAGACTCGAAACCGAGTCGTTGCCTATAAGACGATAGAAACATGCCGTAGAAGTGCGAATACAATCCAGATGACCGCTGGGGAGTGTGGCTAAGCCGGGCACTTAAGAGCACGTTTAATGGGGTTCCGTGATGTTCTGTGCATGATGCGCATGCCGCACGTTCCTTGCTAGGGTGTACTCAGCTCAATTCTCCTTGTCAGTTCGTTTCTGCCGCTGGACTTCTTCTCTGTTTGGACAGTTTTGAGTTACTCAGACCGACACAGCTGATGCAAAGCCACATGGTGCGGAAGGACAGTGACATGAGAATCGGGCCGTGCGGAGCACGCCAAACAACAAGTCCCTGAACCCGCAATCTGACACCCAGGGGACACCTTCGAGTAAGCCCCGAGCCCGACACCCTGCCATTTTACGTTTTGTGAGAGTCGAAACCCTGCTGTCTTTGCTGCATATCGTCTTCGACCCAGCAAACGTGAGGGCTTTCAAAACGACTTGCAGAAACCCTATACAAAATCAGTCATAAAGTACAGGAGTCTTGAAGCTGTCGTGGTGCTCTCGAGGCATCGAAAGTATGTGTGTAATGAACCGGCCATAGCCTTGTATTGTAGTGATTCCTGTACATGACGGAGACATCGGGTCAGTGTGTGCTCAACAGGTTCTTGTATCTGTACGTGGCATGTAGAAGTTGAGAACATGATAACCTGAACGGCAGGGCGTTTGTCAGTGCAGATAGGGCCGAGAGCTTCTGCAGCTCTTGGCTTTTAAAAGACGAGGGTTACACATGGGTTCTGCACTGGCTAGAATGACGAGGTCTGTTTGGTGTATATAGTTTTCAGTCCCCGTGAACTTCCAAATCCGATGCTTTTGCAGGCATTAAAAACTTGTCGAACCCTTGTACCCAGTCTTATAGCACCCGTATACCGGGTAGTAGCCTTATAACACTCATACAGAACTTATGTTATCTTCTGCGGGTTCGGCCGAAAGGTTGGAACTGGCGAGGGAAAGTCGATGATCGTTGCTGCTCGGGTCCCAGCTGTGGTCTTTGTTTGCTTGAGATCATCGTGTCTGTTTTGACACCAGATTGTGCGAAACTTTGGTTCCCTCTGGGTTCTGAGCTTCTAACCATCATGTGTGTGGTAACAACCTCTAGACTTTGGAAACGGAAGAAGACCGCACCTCTCTCTGCTGAGTTTGATGAGGCTTTGGCCATCTACGTGGTCGTAGCACTGCGCAAGAAGGTCCACGTGGTGCTGGGCTGAGTCGTGCCGCTGCCACTGCTGCTATTGCTGTGTGGAGCCTCTGCCCTCTGAAGTACACCGGGCTCATCACGCCAAACCCAAGCGTTGCGTGAGTCAGGTAGTTGATGATGAGACACTGCTCGAACGAGACTTCGCATGGACCTCAGAGCAGCCGCACCTGAGCGGGCTTCTAAAATGAGGACGGTGACTGGCTGTCTTGATACGTTGTTTCAGGGAAGTGTAATTGGATTATAGGTGTTTCTTCGACAGCAACCTAAAGATGCTGTCGACGTTCGGTTTAAACCGGGATAATACTGTAGTACACTACATGTAGGAAAAAGAAGAGGCTGCAAGAAGTAAGCAGAGGCTTCTCATCACAAGCAGAAATGGACATACTTGTAGTCGTGCATCGACCCCTAACCTGACTCTCGCCAGCTAAGTTTGCGAAACATGAAGATTTCGGTGCAGGTTCCCATGTAGGCGGCCCCTGCAACGAGTCACAGTGCATCAATAAGAGTCGAAACTGTCCTCCTGCATTTCAAGCAGGATAACCTCCAAAGCGTCGTCTGGCATGGCATCGTGGTGCAGTATCACCCAGAAGCGAGCGAGCCTTTCTTGAGTGCGGAGGCCTCTTTCCGTCGACTTTTCGATTCCTTCCAAGTGGAGGATGCTGGAAAGAGGCACAGAGGATTCAGGGACGAAGAAACCGTGTTAGTGTTGATGCCGAGTAGGTAGAGACCATTCTCAGCACTGCCCATTAATTTGATCTCCAAGTAGTATGCTATACCGCAAGTTAAGTGCCATAGACCTTGGTTTGTAGGGCATTGTTGTCAAACGAACCCGAGCTTCAAATTATTCGTCATGTTTGATTTACCACTGCACTCGTAATGCGTACTGGCGGTTTAAGTATTGCCACCGTGTATGATTCCCGGACTCTCCCTCATCCGATTCGTTTACGAGAATCCAACCCAACATACCCTAAACCTTCACGAGAAATTCTCCACGTTCTTTCGGCTTCGTACGCAGGCGGCCGTTGAAGTCTATGCTCTGCGTCTCCGAGGCGAGCCCCTCCGGGTGGGATCTGCGCACGTTTAGAATTTAGGATTTTTTTGGGAGCTTCGGAGCTTCTAAGCTTAAGGCTGGAGGCTTAGTTAGGTGTATGTGTGTGTGTGTGGGGGGCGGGGCGGGGGGGGGGGGGATTTTAACGGTGGACCTCCTCCACGCTTCATCGGACGTTTCAGTCAGGAGCCCTTGAGCCTTTAAGCTTACTCATCCATTCGGGAAGCCTAAGCTGAAACTCCGAGTCCTGGGGTGCCCGAGCCCTTCCGATGGATCCCAATGTTTTGGCATGGTAAGTGTCTAAGTAAGTATTAAACCAAGCTCACGACACAATCTCCACACCCTAAAACTCATCGGCTTCCTCAAATTTCTTCAAAACTTCGAAACCTACAGCGAGCCCTATGGTACGAATATGCAAATCCTAAGCTGGAAGCAACGTAACCGCCCTTACCTCGCCAAGTCTATAGAAATTCGGGATCAAACCCAATCTCCAGATTCCTCGAGATCTTGTATTGTAAAGCCGAAATCAAGGCCCAAGCTTAAACCATGGGGCGCCGAGGAGCGCCTGGCTTCCTCCAAGGGTGCTACTGGTCCGGGGCTTTTCCTATGCTGGTCGAAAGCTTGGGGTGTGGCCGAAATGGTGCACACTGGTGCGAGGGCCGCAATGCCCTTAAACTGATCAAGAAAGAGGGAGAGAGACAGAGAGAGAGAGAGCGGAGGAGAGATATGGCAAGGGTTGAAATGCTGTTTCTTCAGAGCTTGATTGGGTTTTGGGAGAAGGGGCCAAATTGGCAGAAACAGAGGGAGCGTATTAGATGCCGGAGCGACCGGAAGCGTCAGAGGAAACAGGGACAGAAGGGCTCTTGCCTATGATTCATACAGGTTTGGTTGGAGTCTCGTGAGCATTTGCTACTCTTTGGTTCAGAGCTCGCTCTTCTCAGAGTTTCAAGGGTTTCGAGCATCAGCTTGGAATATGTTGGAGAAGAACAGGCTCCGGTCTCGTCTTGGCAAGTGGTCATGCTGTCAATAAAGTTTGGTTACCATGCGCCGCATGTCTCAAATCTTCTTGTGGTACAGCAGCGTCTATCATCTCCTTGAGGCATCAACTTTGCATCTAAGTGATCAGGAGGCTTGAAGGCTGGGAGCTCACGGAGGGATAATTCACAATGTTGGAAGCCGTGGTGCCGAAACGCTTCCGGTCGGTACCAACTGTCCATTTGCCCGGAACTCTGGCACATTGCTCGGCTCCGCGGTAGAAGTAGTAGGGGGCCCTTTTGGTCCTAGAAAACATGCCGGCGCCTCAGTCGTCAGGCCGAAAAGGAGTGGAGCTCGGAGTTTGGGAGGGCTGCAGAAGCCCGAGATCCTGAAACTCGGAAGGCTCTTAGGTTGAGAGAAGGTCTGGGTAGACTTCAGCATGTCGGGGAAGTGGGGATCCTGGCTGGATTCCGAGTGAAGGCTCGGCAAGCTAGGAGCTGCTTCTAGCATACATGAGTCTCGACACTCCACATTCCGAGCTCCCATCTCTTGTGAGACCAGGCCGCCGAAATTAATGCGGCGAGCGGACACCGTCTATGCCCTGGACGGTGTCGAGGACGCTTCTGATTCGCGGTGCTTGTGGCACCTGGCAGTTTGTTACGGCATACGGCCATCGAGGGGATGTTTGACTTCTGGTCTGCATGCAGCGCATAAGCGCTCACCCTCCTTTCGGGGACCAACAGGAGGGACATGGAGGGACCCTCAACCCTGAACTTGACCCAAATCCTAGTCAGAAATCCTGAATCCCAAGCCCGAAGCCCCTCCAAAATCGAGGGAGTAAGGCAAAAGAAGCACTAACTCTCTCGACCAATCTACCCTGCAATGCCGGGCTCGACCTAGCGAAGTAGGAAACAAACATACCCTCGATCCCAGGCCCTTCTCCCCTTAAGCCCGAACTTTCAGGAGCAGGAGGAGAGCTCCAGCTCGGAAGAGGAAGCGCCAAGGCCGCTTGCCACGCTCCCAAGGTTTTGGTTTAACAGGTTGCAACTACAGGGGTTTCGGATTCGTTTTGAAAGTCCGGATCTAAGGCTGCTGCAGCAGGTCTAATCGGATTAGTTCTGGGCTTCGGGGTGGAGAGTCTGGGACTTAAGGACTGGCATCAGAATTCAGTATCATGCTCAAGTTGTTTGTTGGTGGGATTTGGAGGCTATCTATTTACGTACCAGAAGGGATGTTCGAATCTTGCATGCGGGGCTCAGAAGCTGGGTTACTCCGATCCGCTGGGCCCTGATCATTGCCTCGGGTGGAATACGGATCTCACAGCTACTGTTGCAAAGGGTTTCTTGCGGTGCTTTGCCGGGGTGCGGAATCGCCCGCAGGCGCGAGGTGCGAGAGTCCATCGTCGACCGAGCCGTGCGCAAGGCCGGCTCATGACGTCGCAATGGTTTCGTGTGTCGAGCTGCATGGGGATCCGAAAAAACTTAAACGACCCTGAACCCCAACAGCCCTCAGTCATATAGGTGCGTGTCAAGAAAATCCTTCAAACCCCACCTTAACCACCCCGGCCTACCGTGCGGCCTTGCCCGAAGTAGGAGGTAGAAGGGACCGCAAGCAGAGCCAACAGCTCCCAAGTCCCACGCAAGGCAGCTCTCAAAGGAAAGCTTGAGCCGGAGCTCTGGACCAAGACCTTCTGGTTTAGCCCGCACCCCGGAGATGGGTTTGTGGGTTAGGAGGATTAGTCTGGGTTGAGAATAGAAGTTGCAGTTTGTGAGGTTCAGAGCTTCTGAGGCTCGAGGCGAAACATTCAGGGTTTGGTCTAGGGGATTTTGAGAGAGTTCGCCGCTGTAGGGTTCAGGGTTTGCGTGCATTGTTGGTCCAAATCGAAATCTTTGGTTTGGCGTTGCTTTGAGGGTGTCAGATACAGGTCATACATTCTGGCGATTGCACCAGTCCTGATTCAAAAAGATTCGCCAGGATTCTAAATATTTGGGGTCCCAGTGAATTGCGACAGTTGCGAGCTCCTTTTTGGGTGGGCTGTTGTTGAACTCCGCGACTCAAAAATTCGAGCTCGGTTACTGCACGTAGGGGTGGGGGAAGCAAGGGTCCGGATCACACCGCGTTTGCCATCTAGTTTGGGGTTGAGGCTCGGGAAGATGTCTGCTAAGTGCAACGCAGCCTGAGGATTGTACCTGGCGGTCATCGGCATCGTAAATGTGCAGGCGGGCGATGGGGCAAGTACGGAGGACTGAAGCCCTGACTAGTCAGCTTTCCGGACGTATCTAGGATTTAGGCTTGTCTGTTCGTGGCAGTCAGTGGCAGTTCTGGCAACAGAATCAGTACCCCATTACATGTCAAGACATCCCCATCCCCTGCTCCTGAACCTGCACAATGTAATTTTTATCTGAAGAACACACTCATCAGAACACAGAGCAACGTTCCGACCAGCTTAATAGAGCTGAGCAGAGTGGCCAGGTGATGGCCCTGGAAACCGATTTCGGCTGCCAGAGCCCTAGGGGTAATAAGAGTCCAGCTTACTATTTCGGTGTTTAGGGACGCGGTGAGTGTAATGTTTGAAGCATCGGGCTGTCAGGGCCGTGGAACAAAGAGACAAAGGCATATGTGCTGAAAGCTGAAAACCACGGTCTCGTGGTTCCCGTTCACTGCGTGGGATGTCGTGCATGTGAGCCGTCAGCATGTCGCTTCCAGTTGACCCCACGTGCACCCAGGCCATACAAATCACTGCCCAGAGCCGTTGATCGGGATATGGACGGCAGCGGTGGCATGTTGTACATAAGTCGTAAAGGGAGAGAGGCAGGCAGGGAAACGGAGATAGATAATAGTTGACCGACGCATCACTGGACATCCAAGCATACAGTAGCCGCGAAACTTGAGTCTATAGCAATGCAGCGGCCCAACCTCCATAGCTTATCTGCAGTCTGAAAACGAACTAAGGCCTGTAAGCTGGATCCGAAGCTTCGATGAAGGATAAAATCTCAGTCAGTAGCGGGGCTGAGGGTTTCATATTTCAGTGGTTCCCCCTTTAGGATTCTGCAGTTGTCACGCTATCTGTTTGTTTCTTTGTCCCTCCTGACATGCAAGAGAGACCCAGGCTCATCAAGGGTTCTGCTGCTGAGGGGTGGCGGTGGTGGAAGGAAACCTTGCGTATGCCAATGCTGCCCTGCGCGCATGTGGTTGGTACCTGGCAGACTGTTTCCCTATTATAAGTCAACTTATGAGCCCTAAGCCTTAAACCGTTCGGTGCTGAGTCTTGGAGCCAGGTGATGGAGCAGATCTTGACCGCGACTTGCGGCAATCAGAGTTTAAGGTGCGAAGTTTGTGGTAGAAGGTTACTCTAGGGGCCTTAACAAGTACGGAGGGTTCCTTATTCTAGGTTTCTAAGTATAGTATAATGTACCCCAAGACTATTCTAATGATTAAGGCCCCTACATTACGCCTTTGCTTGACATTTTCGGGCCGGATCCGGCCTCGCTTGCCTTCTGTCGGACCGCGGGCATGAGGTTGCAGCAGTGTTGGCTCGAACATTCAGTGATTTCGGGGGCATTTCAGTATCAATTCGGAATTAGCGGATCCTGAACCGTAGCTTCCCATGCAGGACGGACAGAAAGAGAGCTCCAATATATGGCTTCGAACCGAGAGTGCACTTTCTCATCCGTATACAACGTGAAAGAAGCTATCCACGTAGAGGGAGGCCGGGACGATACAGCTCGATTCCTCAGAGATCCTAAGTCACACTGATTATCTTCAGCGCCTAGAACTCCGCACTCGCCCCCTCCATGCCCACACACCCAGCTTCGGCAGCGACTCAGCGAGCCCCCAAGCCACTTCGCCGCTGAGGGCTTTTTCGTCTTGGACGTAGCTGCCAGGATATGGGAGGTAGGACACTGCGATGTCTCACGGTCGAGGGAAAGGGAGTGCAGTCATGTTCAGTCCAGGGGATGTGTAGGGACGGCCGCTGTTTGTTTGGGGGGTTGTTCTAGGTGGGCACGTGGGTTCTGAGCTTAGGAGGTTTTGCAGTTCTGCTGTTCGTGCCCGTGTTCTTCCTAATCTGAGCCACAGGTTGATGGCAGGCAAATAAAGATGATTGTCGTAGCATCTGTTGTTTCTAGCTTATGGCTTTGGGGATTCACTCGTGTGATTGATTCTTCGGGTGATGTTGCAGGGCTCAGCTCTTACATGATCGAAGTTACAGGTGACTGAAAGACGAGGTGGTAGTCACAATTTTCGGGACACCGGAAGTGCGGACGATGTGATTGAGCTGCATCAGCGTTAAGTCTTCGAACCGCTTCGGCTTTGGACGGAGGTTTTTGTTGAGTAGACGGACCACGAAACGGCGTCCGCGATAGACCTCAAACCCGGGCCCGTCCATCGAGGCAATGGTCGGCTTCCTAACCTTTGGGCCTGTTATTCGGGCGTCTGGTCAGGCCAAGCCCCGGCGCTTCTTCAAAGGCGACGAGACGAAGGCCCTTGCCTTCTCTTCTTCAGGTTGTCAAGATGACAGGAGGGTAGTGCTTGTTTGGTTTAGTTTAGGATTTCGGCTTGAGGCTTTTCGATTGTACGGGTTTTCACCGATGGTTCGTGTTGACTTTGGCTGCTCCATGGTGCGACTTTGGACTCGTCGGCGTCATCGTCGTCAGAGTAAGAGTTACAGTAATGGCAGTCGTCGAGTCAGCAGCAGCAGCAGGAGGAGGAGTAAAGCCGTAGTAGTAGTACTCGTCGTGGTAGTAGCAGCAGGAGTAGGAGTAGGAGTAGGAGGAGGAGTAGGCGACAGTAGGTGGTAGTCGTATTGGTAAACGCGACACCGGTGGCGGTAGCAGTCGCAGTGGCAGTAGCAGTAGCAGTCGTCGTCGTGGTAGTGGTAGAAGTGAGCAACGTGTGTCGGCTCATTACGTGTGGGTTTCATGCTCAGGACCAGCCCAGACCCACACTCGCCTTTCTGGGCCCTTCTTCGAGTTCTTGGCCAGGAAAAGTACAAGTTGGATGTGGTGAACTTCTTTGATTTCGCCCAAGCCCCAGGTAGCTACTTCTACAGCCCACGGCTGGCACTTGTGTGGCAGACTGCAACGTCCCAAAGAGTAGGATCCTTATTCAGCACCATATAGATTCTACTTGTCTCCCGCTTTCTAAGGTCATCGTGGTGTTAAGGGCCTTCGACCTCTGGTTACTCACGCCCCTGGGCCGGGCAGAGTCCGGGCTGAAGTTCCCCAGCGTCTTCAGGACGCGTCTCGTATCTCCTTAGGGTGTCAAGAAGGGGCCTGTGTTCCGTCTAGGTTCTGTTGCGTTACCTTTTGACACCGCCACCAACAAAGAGACAGTCTGGAACGGCCATGGTCGGCACATGTGCAGGTCTCGTAAAAACATTTGGTGGCTCTCACGACACACAGGAGCATCATGTAGAAAAACTGGGGTTCAACTGGGATAGAAGCTGATTGGGGCTTACGCTTGTTTGTGGGAACCGTGAACATTCCGTAATTGAAGACTGCAAGACTTGAGGTGGAGTTCCGTCATCGGACTAAGAGTCACAGGTTTGTGTTCGGGCGGTAAGGAATTTGGACTTTCCTGTGATGCAGCTTTCGGGCCGTTTTTGTGGCTGGATGTAGGTTTTACTAACCCCAAAGCTTTGAACGCTGCGCCCTAGCGTGCACACTAGAGGGCCTGGTCGGGCATCTCGGGTTGAGCTCAACGCCCTCAACCCAAAGCTTGCCATGCATACAGAAGCCGTGTCTCCCCTGGAGGATTATGCACATAAGTACGTTCGTCCACGAGATTCAGTTGTGGAAGGGCTTCCGTGAGTCCCGGCAACTGCATTGGATTCAGTTTGCGGGCTTTCAAGTTTAGCTTCAGTAGGTTGCTCATGAGAAACGACATAGAGGGCTCAAGGTAAAGGACTTGGGCTCGTGCCAGAGAAGGTTTAACTGATGTTGAAGAGGTGGGTTCTCGAAGCGACACGCGGGCTGCAATTTCTGTTTCCGGGCGTGAGTAACCCGGGCCGCGACATGAGTTTTCCAGACCCGAGGCGCTCATTGTGGACAGTGTTGAAGAGGTGAATCGGTAAGTGGCACACAATTAAACACAGAATGCCTTTTGCTTAGAATCCTTTGTGCATGAAACGGAAGGGAACACGTGCTGTAATTGCGTGACGATGATGGTGCTGATATAATGTCTTCGTTTGGTGGCGAAGATGATGTTTGGTGTTCATACTGATGAGCGACTTGCTGACGGTGGCGATGGAGATGTAGCGGAATTCTTGGTATAATGATTGCAGGTAGACGGAAATGATTGTGCTGGTGGTGATGATGATGGGCGTGACAGGGTTGGTCATGCTGGTGGCAGCGTCGATGGTTGTGGTGATGGGATGCTTGTAGTTTGGCAACTGTGGCTCGGGAAGAGACCATGAGCAAAATCGGCTGATGACGGTCAATGGTGTCGATGTAAACTGATGATGATGCTGATGACGACGAAACTGATGATGATGATGTTGATGATGATGATGATGATGAGGATGATATGCATTGACGGATTTTGCGCGACGACAGCGATGATGATAATCACAGTCGTGCTGGCTGTGTAAGTCTAGACCGCGGTTAAGGGGGGTACAGTGTTCGGTGGTGTCGTTCAGACTCGGTTTGAGAAGTGTGGCAACATCGTCGGTGTTTACTTTCTCTTTAGTTGGCGCTCGCACTGCATTACTTGTAACACTATGTTCGAACGTTCCACGACACGAAGGATGGATGTCTGCAGCCTATTCGCGGTACGTCTCGAAACATGGGAGCGCCTGCACACAATGCCTGCCTCTCTGAGCAAAGCATTATCAACCCCTGAATCGCTTTGGTTACTTGGAGCTGCTAGGTGGCAAAATTCCGGGTACTGATCGCTCACATCACTCTCAGGCTATGGATCGTCATCTCCTTGCTGCGAGAGACGTTGCTGACGCTGTTGTGGCCTGCTGGACATTTAGTTCGCGGAAGCGATCGTCAAAAGTGGAACCAAGCTCCACCATTAACAAGCAGTCTTACGCAAGAGATTAGCTTCGAGGATTGCGCAGGGGCTCTGGGCCGCCATACGATCACATGTTGGCGAGAACTCTAGATCCGTAATGGTTGTTGCTCGTCGTGTTTCAGCATACTTTCCGCAGTGAATTATCACCGAAGCTTTGAAAGGGCATCAAGGCACAGGCTTGTTCCATGAGCCTGAGGGCTGCAAACCCTTCAACCCTGAAGCCGGTCGCGATCCTGTGAGCCCTTCCCGGCTCCCGCTTGAGCTTGAAGAGCTGGACAGCCTGGACCCTAAACCCTAAGCAGAAAGCAACCACAGACCAGACTTGAACTTACTAAGAGTAGACTCCGACTCCGTAGACCCTATCCAGTTGGTGCGGATTCCTCATCGTTGGCACCACCTGGGTCATCTCCGTGCTGATTACCATCTCGGTTCTGACCGATCCCAAGCTGGACCCCCACTGGGTTTGGCGCTTTGGGGCTTCTGGTATAGGACTCGAGGATGAGGGCTCTACTGAGCGGCGTCATGTGGCTGGGTTCTTGGGATGACTTGGCGCATCATCCATGTGCCACCCAGATGGAAGGAAAAAGTTGCAATACTCGCGATCTAGTTCAGCCCTCTTAGAAAAGACCGGGGCAACTGGCACACTTGGTTGTTAGTCGCGGTGTCTCTCTGTGTGTGTGTGTGTGCGTGCGTGTGGGTTTGTGTGTCCTTCTCCGCATCACCTAAATCCCACAATTCAGCCAGACACCGTCCCCTGGAAAGGACTTCGACCTTAGCCGAACCGTCTGGACCAAAGAGGACTACTGGGGCTCTGTAGGCCGGCTGGGCTATGGTATTGCATCGTCTTTGTTAGGGCTTTTGCCCTCAGCTTTATCGGATGGATTCGGTCTTAGAGTGTAGGGTGCCTTTTTCGTGATCTTGCTGATTTTCGGTGGTTTGCTACCGTGGCAAACCTGCAGCAATGTGTCGATACGGATGCACAATGTGACAATGTCCAAGTCTCGCATCGCATCCCTGAAGATCGGAATTCGGACACCGTCAGGTTGTTGGGGTGTGATGGTTCAGGATTTACGGAGTGCAGGACTTTGCATCCATCCCTGTCGGCGTTGAATTCCAAGAGTTGAACCAGAGATATCTAGGACCTAGGACCCGATGATTTTGCAGTTCTCTGTGTGTAAGCTGACACTACAAGAGCACAAGCCACCTGCAAAGGCTCTTCCCACTATCAAAGCTCGTGAAAGCCACCACCACATAAAGCGCCTGTGGACCCCCAATAGTAGTATTAATAGTAATACTAATAGTAATGGTAGCTGGGCCCTGTTGACAGGTAGAACAGCTCCATGGCTGCAGTTCATTCGGAGATGCTTGTGAGGGCCCAATTTCGGCTTAGTTTCTCGCTTCAGCATAAACAGACCCAACAAACAAAACCACCAACCTACAAGACTTATACAGACTGCACAGGTTCACAATGTAAATACTTTAGGCATTTTAGGGTCTGCTTCCTTCGTTAACAGGCACCTCTTCTGTAAAAGCCACGTGCAAGCCTTGACTCACCCCACCACCCCACCTTAAAACATCCCTTCGCCTGGCTTCTCGAAGCCTTAAGTAAGCAACCCTTAACCCGGGCACTGCATGCCTTAAAGCCACCCTTGACTTAGTTCTTAAAGCAACCCCTAGCCCGGCGCCATGGACACACTTAGAGTTTCGCGCTATATGTATGATGAGAGACTCGAGGGAAACGCTTGTTTCCCAGCCTGTGACGTGGCTTGCAAAATGCAGGAACTGGGAGCTGCAACGTTCTTGAAGGAACAGCAAACAGGCCGCCATCAGTCCTCGACACAAGGGCTGACGGAAGCCAATGCTGCGAATACCAACAATTTTCAAGATGGGCAGGATTGCATTTCTACGTGCTGCCTCCGCCTCCACCTGGCACATTCGGTAGGTAAGTTTCTGTGGTAATTGTGGCCCTGCCTCGGAACTCAACAGTTGGGGCACCGATTACTGTACACTATGAATAGTAATACTGATACTAATAGTAATACTAAACGTAATACTAATAGTAAAAGTAATATTAATAGTACAGTAATAGTAATAGTAATACAATGCAGCAGAGTTGAGGTCATCACGATGTTCCAAGTTCTCCTGCGCGACAAATGGGCCGACTCCATCGTATGGCCGATGGTTCAGAATGACCGTGGGTCGGGACTTTTCGGTGCGGCTATCCTTCTAGCGGCGGAGTAGCGAGATTTTGGTTGTCAGGTTTGGGATTTCTCGGTTCCAATCCGCTCACCGTGTCAGAATCAGGTCGCCCTGTGGGCTCCAATTGTGAGAACCTGTGAAAGTTCCGTGGGGTGCAAGACGGGTTTGCAACGATGGGTAGCAAAAGGGCAGGGAAGGCCTGGCACTTCGTAAAAGTCGGCTTGCGTTCAGTGTTGGATATCTACGGTTTTCTTCGTGCTCGAGATGACATGTTGGTTGCATCCTGTGGCCCCTGCGAGGATCCGATAGTTGTCCGGCACCCAGACCTGCAGCATGCAGCTGGACCATAGGTTTTTGCCATGTGTTCGCGGTACTGCTCGCTGTTCAGCGCACTTGAGTTTCGCGGCTCTCCCGGCATACATGTACAGATGTCATGCTTGCACCCGGCTCTTGCAGAGTCGCCAACCCTGCTGCGTCCTGAAAACCTAGATGAAAAGGTACAGTAGCGGACAGTCTTTTTCTTGAAGCATATGTGTTTCGAGATAATGAATCGAAGAACAGGCCCTTTGCAAAGGGTTGCCAAACTGTCTTGTGCTGTCTCATGCTTTCTTCCATTATGTCTGGCTGGCCATAGTAATACAAACCTTGCACCGGAGATGCTGTACCCCGAATTACAAGACTCATCAGGAAAAACGCGAAGCCTTATTGGGATGATGGCCACAGCAGGATTTCATGCGGAACCCTCCAAACCCTCTGAACTACGAGCCACGCAGATGCTGATCTTCGCGGTCTTCTACTGCGTTGTGGTTCTGGCACTTATGACTCTTGGCCGCCAGAGAGCATTTCCATATGGGAGGCCACTATTACTGCCTCGGGATTGGTTCGTCTGCAGACCCTCACTAACGATGCGAGCACCGCGGGCCCAGCATGGAATCACCAAGACAAAAGGAGGAGAAGCACAAGCAGCAGCAACATGAATCTCGTCTCTTCAGGGTCCGGTGAACAACTGCGTAGTTTGACTGCAGATTTCCAGAGAGCGACTACAAGGCTTCTTGGCATGTGTCAACCTTTTCTTTTAAAGCTTCCCATTCCGAGCTGCGGTGGGAAAGCGAGAGTTTCTCCATATGTTGACTAGCGATACTCTTGGAGAATGGAGAAGAGACTGGACAAAGCGTCAGGGCGAATCCCAGACGCAAGGTGACCAAGCTATTTCTGCATTGGCCTGTCAAGCCTTTTGAGTGCATGTACCAGGAACAACGTCACCGGTGTGGTCGTTGTTGGCGCCTCAAGTTTGCTTGCACCTGCTGTATGAGACTGTGTGCATCATGCATAGTGGCTTATTAAGCAGACGCAAAGCCTAGTAGATTTGGCACCATGTCCATGGCACAGGTGGGGCCTTGTTTTCCAATTGCTGTAGGGTTTTTGTTCGCAGCATGAAGCTGAGGAATGCGCCATGGAGGCATCAACCCTTTGCGGTGAGCTCTATCAGAAAGAGCAGGAGCGTGGCCGATCCACCAGTGGGATGTGGTGGCTGTGCCAAGTCGCTTCCGTCGTGCGAACTGAGTGCTTCTGGAACGTGCTGTTCGTTGTTAGTTTTCTGCTATATTTCAGTGTATGCCAAAGTTGTCGCTTGAGCGCCGCCGTTTGCAGGGGCCTAGCTTGTATAGTGGGGTGTTTTGCTCAGTTGCCATGCACGGCCGACGGCGCTCGTGGACATGTTTGGTGGCACTGGCCCTTTGTGCTTTGGGAGTGGGTCGTTCTTTCGCCGGTGGCAGCCTGCGGTTGCGGACAGCAATGGCAAGGACCTGCTTGGAGCAGGGGCCATCTCAGGCTAGTCGCGACGAGCTCGGGGACCGGAAATTGGCTTTCGGAAAGCACAAAGGAAAAAGCTTTCGTGAAGTCTCCCAAAACTACCATTATGTTCGCTGGTGCAAGCAAAAACTCTCCAGGGAAGATCCAATTTACAGAGACTTTCTGGACTATGTCGCGCACAAGGACTCCGTTTCTGTCCGATCGTCTTCGAAAGCACAGCCCCCAAGTGTGGAAGCTCCTCGTTCTCGTGGCAGGGCCCCGTGCCTGCAAGTTAAGTGCCCTCGAACTCGGGCCCTAGGATGGGTTCTCCCGGATTATAAGCGAGTCGGTGCTTGAGGCTTTCCGAGTGTCAACCTGACACTGTGGGAATATACGGAGGAAAACCGGGACAATAGCGACACGGGCTGCCTTCCACTGACGGTAAGCTGATTGATTTTGAGACGAATCTCTTTAACGGCGAATTGCAATCCCACCGGCTGTTTTTGATGCCCGATGGACACTCATGAGGTCAAAGCGCAAATTCCACAGTTCGTGTCCCAAACTCACCGCGTCTTTCACTGCACCTGACATAGGCTCAGAGGTCGGAGACGGTTTTTTGTGCTTTTGGGTAGAATTCCTAGGCCTTGCTCCAAGCCCAGGTTACACCCCCGACGAGGACCACCATGCTGGGCGCGTGCGGCCAGGACGGCTGTTTTGAGTCTCAGCGCATTGCCTCTTGAGGACTGGCCCACAGAAGCTCGGGCTCCGGAGCACGAAAGCTCCTGGTACCCCTGCCCCTTGTCTGCTCATCTTGCACGTAATGCAAGTTTGTATACAGCGTAAGTGCAGCTTCCATTCACTATTGCAGGACACGAAGACCTTTGACCACCCACGCTCTATGGGGCTCAGATTCCGAACAACGTGAAGAGACCAAACACGAACGACGTGTTGAAAAGAGGAGCACATTGGTCTTGTCCTGAAGCTTTTCCCAAACCGAAAGTCTGACTTTAAGCACGAATTCCTACGTAATAGTCGCTTGTGGTTCTGTACTTCAATCTAACTGTTCTCTATTCCAAAACCCATCCGACGGGTCTTCGTATCTCGACAGATGCTGAGGTGACGTCGGGGAGACAGTCAGCGAGGCTTCGGAATCCCATATTCTCCTCCTCTCTCTCTCTCTCTCTCTCTCTCTCTCTCTCTCTCTCTCTCTCTCTCTCTCTCTATCTATCTTGTATACACTGCTGATGAGCGCCGCACGTGGATGCGGTCAAGCCCTTTCGAGGATGCGCTGATGGGCTTTCGGAGCTGTTTTACAGAATCGGGACTCGAAAAGCATTTTATGTTTCTTCAAGCTTGGCTGTCCCCTTCTTGCAAGCTCTGAAGACGTCAACAATATGATGCTACTAGTGGCTAGTGGCGGTCATCATGTCATCCTCGGCAACCAACCTACCCTTAACCCCCATGGCCCCTTCCTACGCCCCTGAACCCCGCAACTCCTACTGCTCCCTAGGCCCGAAGCGCTTGTGCAACGGAGAAAGGCCCACCACACTTTAAAAGACAAAAACGCTCGGGCCTGGGCCCTATCCTGCAGCAGGCCAGGGCCTTCCAGGCCCTCCAGGCCCTCCCGCCCGGCAGCCAAGAAGATACCTCAGGCGCCCCTGCAGACCAAAGGCGCCTCAGCGGTTCTTTCATCATTTTCATGTTCGCTTCGTTTTCTGATTCTGACTGTTTGCGTGTGCGATCTTCCCTTGCGTGAAAACGCATACTCCGTCAGGTCATGGGTTTTGGGCTGCAGGGTTGTTTTGGCAGTTGTCCGACACGCCGAGCTGTTTTGCAAGCGCTTTGCAGGCTTCGAGCGGGACTATGCCGGTTTCGGTTTAGAGTGGAGAAACATTGAGCTGCAATGTGGAACGCTGATTTGAGCGAGCCCCCTTCAACCAATTGAAAGCCTACTCAATAATGCGGCGCCGGTGCCGCCTTCGTAAGAAGATGGTCTTTGCAATGGTGCTTCGAATCATGTCATTAATAGTAATATATAGTAATGTTATGTGAAGTATAATCGTATGAGAAGTATCGGGTGTTGGTATGCATATCAGAAAGTAGCTTCAGGTCAGCAAAGGCTTGTATGATGGGTCGGTAGCCCCGCTTCCCAAAAACTTGGCCGGAGAAACTTTCCATTATTGGGTGCCCCCCACAGCAAGCATTCACCATGCAAGGGGGTCGGATAAGCTTTCCAGTATTGGTGCCCCCACTCATTAGGGGTTTCAGGCTACGGCGGCAATCCGGTATCCTGCACTTGTACTATCTTCGTTAACTAGCTGGTGCTTTAACGCTTCTGTTCGGGGGTCTTGGCCGGCTCTCGCATGCTTCACGGCCACAGCTTCAAGCTATCACGACTGGTAGCTGGAACAAAGCGGATGAGTTGCAGTTCCATCTCGTGGATGCCTAGCCCAGTCGTGTGCCTCACCTATTGAAGGAGACCGGGAATATTGCTTGTTGAACAGGTCGCCTCAGAAATCACGGTAGGTGGATCAAGCTTTTGTAAACCATCGAGCTTGCAAGTAAGTGCTTCTTCGCCTTACCAACCCGTGGACTTCAAGCTTTCCTCCTTGTAAGGACCAAACTCAGATATCTTCGGGTTACCGAGAGGCCTCCTCGAAGGCTACCAGTGCCTCGTCTCTTTTACAAAACCGAACGGTTTTCGAGCTGCTGGACTTCAGGGCTCCGGAGGCAGAGGTTGATTTTCGATGCTGGCATTGAACCATTCGAACATCTTGAACCCAATGCCCTGCTGGGACTCTTCGCTAAGTTCACGACGCCGCCACACTGCAGGGAACACGCAAACAAAGTTTATCCTGAGCTCAAGCAAGCTTGAGCTCTGGGCGAACCCTCGTGCATGCTCGTTCAAGGCCGTGGCGAACGAAATGCAGACGGCTTGTAGCATTCCTGAGCCCTGAAACGAGTCATCGTGAAGATGACACACAGATCACGCCCTACCTGGCCAGCCTGGTCTCTGAGGTCTTCATCCTACCCCTTAGATCCTCGTTATCCTGAAATATGACCCTCACAGTGATCTGAAAACTATCTGCTCCCAGGGTCCTCTGAGTCACGAGTGTTGCTTTACAGAGTATAGGATCCTGGGGGGGACATATCTACAAGGACACAGTCACTTTAGATGTTGGCAGGCTTGTTGTTGGTTGTGCTTTGACTTCCCCTTGGTTAAGTCTCACGCATCAAGCTCCGAACCACATGCCTCGCCTGGATTCTCCGAGTGTGAGCGCCGAAACCCTGCAATTGAAAACCGGTTGCAAAGCCGAATAGGCTTCTTAGCCGGATTTTAGACTCGTTAAACCCTTCGCTTTTGTCGAGGTTGGAATTGGTTTCTCAACCAGTTGGATGGGCACAGGTTGAGCTTGACGTGGAACCAGTTTTTCGCAACTGGCAAAGCAAAAACTCCGTACTACCCGAGGGCCCGGAGTCCTTAAGGCCCTAAGCGAACCCCGAGGCTTTGGTCATGCAGGGGCAAGGCCGAACCACCTGCCGGAGACAAGACACCCTGGGCCTTCAGCTACAACGACGGAGCCTCCGACATCCCTTAATTCATAGGGCTTTGGATGGCATATGTTCGGTGTCGTCGAAAGACAGGGAAGTTGGAATTGAGGGGCGTTGCCCAGCTTTATATGCGATGCCGAGCTTTCCGTGTTTTGGCTTCGCGACTTGAGCTCAGGGTTCGAGGCCGCTTGCGGGCATTGTAAGCAGAAGGGCGAAGCGGAAGGCACGGTTTATGCATGTCTTCCTGCTTGGATCTAGCATGTAGCAGCTTTGTTTTGCAACTGGTCAATTTCCATGCTGTTGAAAGAAGCGTTCAGTGCTGCTTGACTGGTCTGCATGCTGCATCAACTATGTCTCCTGGGTCTCTTTTCCTTAGGTTATTAGGCAAGTATAGCCTCATCTGCAGTCTGCCACAACAGAGCTAGGATGGACTTACGTTGGACGAGTACGGCTTGGACGGAAACTCGTGATGAACCTGAAGGTCTGACTGGGGATGCAAGTTTCATGCAGGAGTCGTTGCTCATGTACGACTCAACAAGAGGAATAGTTGTTTGCACGCAGACAGGCCCCAATGCGATTTGTTCATGGTGTCACTCAAGTATGTTGAAGCCCGAAACCCAGGTCCAAGACGGAAAAACACAACATGCCTGAAACCTCGTCAGTGCATCTTCCGATGGCGACAGTACAAAGCCACCCCTGCGCAAACTCGCCGACACGCGCGCATCGTTTGTGATATGGCCAAAACCTGTGATGCAGTATAACATAACATAATTGACATAACATCATGTCATGTCTTTATATCATACGTTCCGAAGCCCGGGTGTCCCTTGTTCAGCTTCCCGCGGGGTTACAGGACCCCTCAGCTTCCCGGCGGGGTGACGACTGTGAGACGATTGATGAATCCGACCTCACCGAGGAAGTGTCCCGGTTTCATTGAGGAATATGACAGGAAGGTCTGCAAGATTTTGTGTTTTGAGAGGGTTAGTTGTTGAGCATTTGGATTTCTCAAGCTAGGGGTTTGGGGCGACGTGCCGCCGTTCAGATGCAAAGAGGGCCGCTGCTCCAGTCCTGGCGATTCTGAGCCCAATGGAGTCCCTCAGCCCCAAAACCGAAGCTGTGACATCCCCGCTGCGCCACCGACAGTTCAAGCGCGCAGATGTACTGAGTAATTATACTGCATGTGTATGTAGCATACATACACACATGTGTGTGTGTGTGTGTTTTGATTTGTGTCCTTGTTGTTTTGTTCGTTCACTCTTAGTGCTCCTGTTGTTTGCTTTTTAACAACTACTGTTTAGATACCACGTCGATATCAAGCCCGGAATTGTGCCCGAAGGGCTTACAAGAAGCAGAGTCTGTGACCACAACCCTAAACTCCCAGCCCGTCACGGTGGCTGCCGAGGAGTATGCGAAGTTTCTTTGCGCACTGTTGGAGATGGAGCCGTCAGTTGGGTTTACGGCTCAATTCGCGACACATCGATAGATGTAGCAGGCTGCGCCTGGAGTTTGGGTGTGAAGTGCAGCAGCTGCGATTTCTGAAAGGGGCCTCGGGTCTAAGCGTGGGTCCCAAACCCAAGCAGTGTTGCCTTGCCTGCTGCGTGCGAGTGTGAGCGTCGAAACCCAAGCAGCTACAAGAATTATCTCTGAGATCTGACTCGTTTGCACTCGGATTTTTCAGGCTTTCGGATGGTGGAGTTGTGTTTTGCTTGGGTATGATCTTCCAGTCCTGGAATTGTGTCTTCGGACTCTGAACCTGTTAGGCTCCAAGCTGGCAATCGACAGAATTCGAGTTCCACGTCCTCAAGACTGGTTTTGGGGTTCAGACTTTATATGCGGTTTGTGCCGAAAGTTTGATGGAGAGAAGAAAGTCGTAGTAGTTTAGTGAGTACACTTCACACTTTTCCGGTAAGACAGCCCGTATAGGACTGAAAGACTACATTTGTGGGGCGCTCAGCAGCTAAGTGGCACAAGGCAATGCAGCCATTCAAAAGTATAGTTAGCATGTTGGCAATTGTGGGACTGCCCTGAACGGCCTTAATTGCAGTGCTTAGGCCCCATTGAGTCGTCAAATTCTTGACACATCTTGCTTGTCGTCGTGTAGTACTTGTACCACGCGCTATGCTTGTTTTGAGCTCGTGTTTCCATGAAGGAGGGGAGAAACGACATGCCCATCGCCCGCAAGGCCGGCCAGTCGGTTGAACGACAGATTGCAACGCAGGACACGGACGCCATTGAACCAGAAGTTTGGAGTTTGTGACCAGCTTGTACATTGTACATTGGACCATACCAAAGAGCATGATGGGCCACAAAAGCTTCACGGACCCTCAAAGCCGGAATTGGTCGGCCCCGATAAGCGTGATCCTTCTGTCTCTGCTAGTGGGAGTTTCAGAAAGTTATCGGGCTTGCTACTGCAGACCGTCGACATTAAATTCTGATCTTTTACTACAAGGAACCGGCTTGCAAACAAAGACTCCCAATTCTGAGAAGCCCACGCATTTTCTGCAACGTCTGGCGCTACTATAGATAATGCCTGTGAATTGGTGGTTAAACCGATTCCAAACCAGAGGTTTATTCTCGCTCGGTCTTTGTGTTCTGGTGGTTTGAACCATCATCTGCACCAGCTTGTAACAAGAGCATTAAAACCACTCCGTGAAACAGCTCTCCGAGAGATGCTACTGACCCCAGCCTCTAAATCCAGAAGCTGTAGAACGCGACACAGCCTTGGATTTCTGCCAGAATACTGCCCTCAAGTATCCAGGAAGAGCCATCTGAGTAAAGTAGAATTTGAGTAAGCAAGTTTGCTTGTGTTCGAGCAACATAGTGTCAGCGGAGCACAACGACGGAGTGGCCCTCTCTGTTTTGGGGTTCATAGCGGTCTGGGCTGCGGAGAGATTTCCTCTGCTGTACACCGCGACCTCCACGGGGCTCATGGTTGACTTCTGATGTTACACTGAGTCTTAAGCGTTCTGCAGGCAGCAAGAGTCCTCTCTGCGGTGGTGCAGTGACCAGGTCAATTACCAGGGAGCACGCTTCGAGGCACTACCGAAGTGCCCTGGCCTACTTCTCGCCTGGTATTGAAATTTGAGCGGCGAGTGCTAAGAGTTCGACATTTGTGTGCTATATCACCAACATGCGCTGGCACTGCTGGCACCACTAATTAATTCGCTTGCAGAATCCTCCTTGGCCTCAGCTTGTATGCCTCGGCGCTGTATCTTAGAAGTCGATGTCAAAACCTTGAAAGGCACCAAAACCCTTGCATGTCCGTGCAGGAGATACAGCAGAATAATATGCGGCAGGATTAGGTGGCATCGCTTGCTCTCAGAATTGTGCAAGACACTTGAAAGGAAGTAGAATCTTAAAGCTGTACAGTGGCTGCTGGAAGGTACCACTTTCGTGGTATCGTCCCTTTTGGCGGGAAAGCGCATATCGCAGCAGCCCTCGATCAGGCGCGAGAATTACAGTTAGACAAGTTGAGCCGTTTTCTGCACATAGATTTCGCATGCTAAGCCTTTCTCCTTATATCACCAAAAGCCGGCGCCAAACCGTAAAATCCCACCCAGAAAAGCTCACAGTTCCTCCCCCTGTAGTGCTAGAACATGCTGGAGCTTTGCTTCCGAGGTTCTTGCTGAGTCGAATGAATGTCATGGGATCATCAGGGTTGAGTTTGTTTGCTTCGGATTGTCGGGCCGCATGCTTCGTCAATATATGACTTGCTACAGAATCGAAGCAGATTTTTAAATGCCGTGAAATCCTCTTACAAGCATGTTATCCCCTAGAAGTTAAGCAGAGATTGTAGGTTTTGTGGCATCTCCTCGTCCCATAGCAGGCTCTGGAGCGAAGTAAGCCACGACACTGCAAGGTATACACCTGTCCTCCATCAAAATCCAGATGCACTCACACATACGCAGACCTGCTGCTCTAAAGCTGAACCCATCGCACTCCCCAAGTTGCTGTGCTCTCTTCCTGAGCAGGAGCTCTATGCCCCAGAGGACCGGGCCTTTTAGGGTTACACATAGTAAAACTAATAGTAATGGGAATAGTAATATTAATAGTAATACTAATAGTAATACTAATAGTAATACTAATAGTAATATTAATAGTAATAGTACTGACGGGCTGATGGTTATCACTAAGACAACTTATCGTCCGGCGTGCGCCTCGCAGGGATGAACAAATGTCATCTGAGATTTCTTGGGTCTCGTGTGGCTGGACTCGGCAGTTTTAGTCGGCGATGTCTGCGCAAGCGGTCGGGATATTTCTTGCAACAGTTCACACACAGCTGCGGCCAAGCCCCATTCGGACATTCGGTGCACATGTTCTTTGGCCAATTCCGACGCTCCTGCACATTCCTTTTTCCTATAGAGATTATACAACCGGAGCCGATCGGTCCGTCCTCAAGCAGGGTTCGCGGAGCAGTATTACAGCAGAAGCTCCCTGTGATGCGATGCTAACTGCTCGATGCTGTGTGCGAAGACCGGGCACAAGAATGTTCAAACCACAAATCCACCGTTCAAGATCCAGCATTGTTACCGAGTCAGTGTTTAGCTGCGACACACCCCGACTTCAGGAGAGGAATCTGGGTGGCCAGGGCCGAACAGCAATGGCTTCCTTGGTTGGTCTCAAGGCTGGCGTTTCACTACAACCACCACCATGGCCATATATGGCAAGGGTGCGGGAATTCCGTGAGTTGTGCGAGAGTTTGGGGCTTCGTCTTCACAATTCAGCGTCGGGTTTTTCATACTATACTAATTCGGGAAGTTTTCGCTCGGTCTTTCTCTATGTGCTCTAAACCCCGTAAATGACACCCCAGTCTATAGTAAGGACCTGATTCCAGAAATGACAGACTGATAACGAAAGGGCCGCTAGAATCGATTGTCTACCGGAGCCTCGCTGGTGAGGCAAGTCGGGCCCTAAGCAATCACATTGGTAGTTGTCGGTGGTTGTTCAGGCACCCATAACGCGTATTCTGTTGAGGCGGGACCGTAATTGGCCTTGAAACAAATTGTGTGTTTGTGAGTGCTACCAGCAGAAATTAGACGCAAGCTGTTCAAACCTCGGAGCAAAAGAAGCCCCGTCGGTGCCCCGCTCCCAAAGGCTTCATCGTGAAATCCTTGGTCCCTCGAGGATTTAGGAATGTGGGTTTATAGGGCTTAAGCAAGTTTTTACCTACTAGAAACCCTAACGCAAAAGCCACCCTCAGTCGTCGCAAGACCTGCGAAGCCGGCTTCTGTCGTGCTTGAAAGGTGCGCCCTCTTGGGCCTTCACAGCCCTGGTTCACTGGCTTGGTGGTTTGTGTCTTCCCTTGAAAGAAGGGGTGGTTTTCGTTTCGGGGTGGTTGGTGGGGTTCCTATTCTTGCAGGCTTGCCAGCCGTGTTGGTGTTTCATGCGCCCGCGACACGTTTAAACCCTCAAGCTGGTGACTCTTTCCCCATCCGGACCACAGCACCGGCGTGGCAGGCTTAGGGTTTGTAGGGTCATGTGTAAGGTTTAAGCAATGTAGGCTTGGGCGTTTTGCCCCTAACTGGCATCGGGTGGCATCGCAGCAGACGCCGGAATATTGTCAGTTGTCAATCGCTGGCGTCGCTTTGGCACCCCAAAGAGATTCGCAAGCTAGTCCAGCACTTCTGGGCACCTGGCAAACATAGCGGCGTCCTTTGACACCTGTGCAAAGGTCTTGTTTTCATCTCAGGCGAGCCGGAAGACAGAAACAACATCACTCTGACGCCGACCATTCAGCAGAACCTCTTGCAGATGACGAGAACGCCGAAGGTGTACGATGCTACGGCCAAGGCCTCACTGTCAGACTTGCTGATGTGAACAACAGTGTGGACACCAACATGCATGTTAGCGATGACGATCACTCTCACGATGGTCATTAATTATAGCCGAATCTTTGGCTGTGGCACCTTTACCCCCCGGCAAGTATGATAGAAGTGACGTAACCCATGACAAAGGTGCTGTTAGAGACTAACGTTTGTCATGGCCGCCCCGACAGTATACTTCTCGTGAAGTTACATGTTGCAAAGTCTTGTTGGTATTTTTCGTCGCGTTATATGTTGCAGAGTCTCGTCTGTGCTGTTACATTGCCATCTGCATGCGTCCTGTTCATCCTCAGAATCTGACCAGCTTCTCCAGCTGAATAGACTGGAGACAGGAGCGGGTATCGTATAATTCTCCCAGTGGTTGCATGATGAGCCGGCATCCCTGGTGCGAATCCGAGCCACTACTCGTGTTGAAAAGGTTTGGATCGCTATTTCCCGAAGTCAAGTTGTGGTGTTGAGGCCACTGTGCAATGGGTGTCAGTGCATGTCTTCATCGGGTGCATGGGGCTACGGCGTTTGCCATAGTAAGTTTGGAGACACTTGTCATCCTGTTGCTCCTGTGCGTGGAACTCAATGCTTTACCGAGCCGTGAGAGCATATAACACCCAAAGCCAATTAAGTTATGCAAACACCATGTCAATCAGCGGTGGAGACAAGTTTACTCATTTGATGCGTGATGTCAGCTAGCGTCTTCGGCTGGTGGCTCTACATTAGCAAGTGCCCGAATGCTGCCTGTCTACGCATGAGTAAAACCTTAAGCAGCCCTCCGACGCACAGTCGTGGTCTTTACTCAACCCCCTTCTGCCCCCGTGCCGTGCTTTGGGTGCGTACTGGGTGCGTAAGAGGCCTGAAAGAACTACTATCGTCTTGTCTGCCAAACGATTACACCTCCGGCCGCACGATTCCAGAAGTAGACAAGCGGACTGTCTTCCTTTAACTGGTTGAAGCAGCCAAGCCGCAAGGCAAGGTAGACTCTGACTACAAAAGTCTGTCTCACCGTTCTTTTGGAGGCTCTTGTCGACGAGCTCCTTCTGACGGTCTCCAAGAATTGCACCAATGAGAAGCTGAGCTGTGCCAGTGGTGAAGGGAGTTCGTTGTGTACAATCAAACCCACCAACTTGCGCAATGATCGGCTGTTTTGGTTTCTCTGGCCGCGAAGCTGAAACGGAAAGCCTCAGACTAAGCAATGTAGGGGTTTAAGGCTTGACTTAAAGCTAAAGGCAAGCTCCTCTGCAACAAGGAGGGACTTGAAGATGACTTTCGTCGCAAACGCACTGAGGCCTGCCCGTAGCTGCACACTTAGAGCTTGGTGGCAACCCGCTTATTTAGGACCGCACGGGCTTCTGGGTATTTCTGAGTTCTGTGTTTCAGGATTTGGAATGAACCTTTCTTCATACTCCTGCCCACTGCCAAAACTATCGCTTGAAGCTCCTAGAGAAGAAACGAGCGTGCTCCATGAACAGACAGGTGAGACTCCACCCGGCCAGGTAAGCCCTGCAGCTGAAACGAACCCTTGTTCAGACTAATACTATAAACGAAGAACGGACGGGGGGCGCAAGCTGATGTCAGGCCAAGCGTCACCGGGCAAGCGCAAGAGCAAAAGCTGAGAGGGCTGAAAGGCTGGGAGAGCTGCATGTCTGGATTTGAGAGTGGTTAGCGTGCGTGATTAAACTTGTAATGAGCGACATAGGGCACCTGCATTTTCCGGTTTGCAACTTTGGATTGTTTTGGAGTGTGATCTCTCTGAGGCTCTCATTCGCCGCCAGTAGTTCCCCGCCTCAGCATCCCCCAAGGGGCACTTCTACTGCACCGGACAGAACCTTCCCCCTGCCTACACGGACCGCACAGCCATCATGCTGATCGGCAGTGTTGTCATGTCTTCTTAACCATAATTCAAGTTATGGTTACTTTAGCTCAAGCTTTTTCTGCAACATGAACATGGTCGTCATCACCCCAGTCGTTGCGTCATTTATTATGGTCTACTTCATCATCAGCATCCAACCCCCAAGTTGAGAGTGCCCGTGCTGTCTCGTGCGACCTCTCCGGCATTTTCATGGGGCTCGTTGAAATTGAAGGATTCGAAGACAGGATATTAGCACTCGGGTCTGGAGGTTTTCGGCTCCCGGGACTCTAATGTCCAGCGGTTCTGGGTTGGGCTCGGCTAATGCAGCGGACACTGTTTAAGTTCAATTCGTCGGATTTACATGCGGTTGGATACAGAGCGGTTCTGAACCTGGGCTGTAGTACTAGGAAACATGCAGCCTGAAGTTCTTTAGGCCCCAAGTTGGCTCGAACCGTGCTCGGGGCAGTAACAACGGCATCGAGGCCACAGTGGCACGCGATTCATGTACTTTCTGAGATTGTGACCAAGGATTCCAAGCCTTGCCACCTACCAAGATTATCCTGGATGCAGAGACGCGTCAGCGCATGATCGCCGAAGAGGCTGCTGACCTCCAAGAAGTTCAGGGTAGAATAACGATCAACATCACCGTTCAGTACCCTCGAAAGCTTATTCTCATTATTCAGGCCCTTTCTTAGAGCTCCGGTCTAGGGGATTTGCCGTCGATCAGTTTCTGCAGCGTTTCCAGTAGCCTACGGCTCCCGTTCTGCTGCTCGCCTAGCAAGTCATCCGCAGCCTTACATCGAAGTTGCTTTGAAGGTCACTCGCCTCAGTGACAAGATCTTCAAGTTTTCTCCCCTCCGTCCTGGTCGAGTTCGAGATGAGAGCCCTTTCCAGAAGCTGGAGCCGCCAATGCTTGTCGTCGGCAACAAAAAGTCTGTCAGTGGTTCCGAGAGACCCACAAAAGCACTCTTTCAATTAGACCGTGCCGGCTCCTTCAAAGTCAAGCCGACCGCGCCTGTGCGACTGGGCGCTGCCACCTTTAGCGCCAACCCTTCACAGAAGACCTTCGTGGAGACGGTCTTAAGAGACGTCAGACGGCTGTTGGAGAAGCTCGGCTTAACGGTGGCCGACACCTTGACACCAATCCACAAAGCCGGCTCAACTGAGAAGGACGTCAAAAGCGCTTTGAGGTCCGAAGCCTTAACCCATGCCGACGCAGTTCTACTATTTGGCGGGAAGATGAATGATGCGATCTACAATCAAGCCAAGTACGAATGCCTGCGCTCGCAGAACGATGCCGGGAAACACGTGACGACCCAATGGCCTCTCGCTCGCAGGATACTTGGTAGGACACCGGAAAAGTTATGAAGGAAGGTCTGAACCAACGAACAAATTAAATACCCCTACAAAGAGAGACAATTGGTATGCATGCATTGAGCATGTAACGTCGCGAGTCCATGTTAAGCATCGGGCATGCGCTCTTCTGAGTGCAGTGATGTACAATGCATGTTGTATGTAGCGTGTGGTAGCCTGTTTCCACTTGTGGGAAATCCAAGCCCCCACCGACTTCTATCTTAAACAGTTATCGAGCCCGCCAAGACTTGGCCAATTCCCCCCAGCACTGAGCAGTCACACATGGCAATATCGCGCTCCTGCACACTCCTCCTCATCTTTTTAGGTTTAGGAGGACCGATCCATGGAGACAAATGCAGATGTGTCCCTATCAGTTGCTTTACCAAAGCATGTGCACAAGTAAAAGCAGGTAAGCAAACAACTGTTAAGGCCAGGTGCAAGACAGGTGACGCGGGATATTCCCACGCCCCTGTCCTTTGCTTGGCATTTACTACTGTTGCACGCGTCTCACATGCTTTTTACATGTCTTCACATGATTTTTTACAAATAACTACATCGAAATAATTCGAAAAACATACCTATGTATACATATATATATATATGTAAGTATAGTATATGAACAGGGTTTATATAATCATATGAATATATATATATATATATATATGTATATATACATTCCCTTTACTCTCCCGGGCAATTGTGGCGAGAAAGTGTCAAAGCTACATACGAGTGTGACGAACAACTGAACGTGCCGACTATTGATATTTGGGAATAAAGCTAGCGAACAATGTCGAATTCGACCCTCATACAATGCCATAGTTGTAAATCCCTGTTCGTGCGCGGTTTGCTTGATGATTGCTCAAATTCTTTGCGCAGGAAACTGCAATGGCTCGAAAGCTAAATCCTTCAGCAGCCGGTCGTCGTGAAAAATCCTCTTGGCGGAATAAGTTGGATACGATCCAGGCTCAGCGACTTTGACATAAACTTCATACATTCATCACCAACCCAAAGACCATACCGTACACCCGTGAACCCGAGGGGGATTAGCCTAGGTTCGACCTGGGTAAGCGCAACGTGTGGGGCCCGACGTCCAAGACGCTGGAGTGGGCAGAGCCTTTGGTTCTTCATTTTGGGGGATTATGGCCTGGTGTGGTGTTGTGAGCATTCTCGGGTCATGGGGATAATTTGAAGTAGAAGCGTTTGAAACCTACAGAGCGCAGAACACGATAACAGGGTGAATCCCGGCGCCGCTCGAAGTCGATTCTTTGCAACAGCAGCCGTGGAGTTAGAGGTGCTTTGTGTTTGTTTTGGACCTAGCAGTTCGCTGATTCACACATTCTTCGGCTGAATCGGAACGCGCGTCGCTGCGCTGAATGCGAGCAGCAAAAACCGCTTCAACAATGCTGCAGCCAAGGAAAAGATCTGCGCAGTTGGCATCACTGCCAAGAAGCCTGGCTGGCTAAAGTGTTCACCATTGATCGCCGCCTTTTGTGAATCTGTCCATCTTGGGTTTGGGATTTGCGCTTGTCGGCCTGGGCTTTGGATGCTTCTAAGTCTTCTAAGTTTTACGGGAATAGCAGCTAGCACAAAGCGGTTAGGCTTTAGTGTGCTCTGACGCACCCGTCCTTGACATGCCTCGCATGTTCGAAACAAAGCTTGAACAGGTCTTGACCGCAGATGGCTTGTTTGCACATTTCACAGCCAAACATATCGCCTGACAGGTTCTTTCTTAGAGAGGTCATGTTGCTCATAGTCCCTTTTGACCCTTTCCCTCAAACCCTGAAACCTGATGTGCTTGGCATGGACAGCAGAAGGGTTGGCCTTTCGAGTACAGTTATGTACTCCAGGGACCGCCAAGCCCAATAATTAATAATGTTGACAATGGTCAACATTGGCAAACCCTGGCACAGGCAGTTCTGCTACCGTACGTGACAGCCGTTCAAGCTCTTGTTTCTACCGCCTGTCCGAGAAATCCCTATACGCAGCCCTCCCTGGACCGCAGCATTGCTAAACCAGACCTTGGCCGTGGTTAAACTGTCCTGTCAGATTCAATCCCAGGCTCGGCCACGCCCCTTGGGCAATCGATGTTCGGCCTTGGTTCCGTCGCCTCGCCCCCAAGGCCAGTGCTGGGCGATTCTGAGCGTTAGATCTTCCGAAGTCCGGATTCAGGGATTTGGGGGACGCCATGGACGTAATGAAATGCTTATGCAACTTGAGGGAACAGCTACTGGGACGGAAGTGCAACCAAGCTATTGGCCGTGTGCCTAAGTCGCACGTGACACATGTCCAGGTCCCCCGGTCCCTCAAACTGCACACTTCCGAAATTGTATTGTGCGCCTGTTCTGTTCTAGTCTTCGCATGGAGAAGCCGGGCCGGCACGAAGGCGCTAGACAGCAATGAGTCGTTGCACTGATCTTGCGCCATCTTGTGCCCCAATGTGTGCAGGACATTCGTGCGGGTGTGGTCGGCTACGATGTGTGCCACCTGCGGAACCCCAACAATTTCAAGAAGCCCGTATCGATTGCCGCAGCCATCCGGGAATCTAGCTCGCAAAGAGATTGGGGTGTTTCCGACGCGGACATAGAAAGTCTAAATAGCTCTTTCTGCTGGGCTCGCGTTCTTTTCTTCCCTAAGTCCTAACTCCGGCAACCAGGATTTCTCAAAGTTGGGAACTGTTCAACTTAAGAGTGATGCCGATTGGACGAGGCTGCAGGTTCGCCCTGAGACTGGGGCAACGGCGCCATTGCGATTGCTTTTGCTGCATGAGTCTGTGCCAATCACTATCAGCATATGCATTATCGTCTTCGCCATCATCAACATCATATTCCTGCTGCTTCTGCGCATTTCCAAGTCTATGTTTCGAGTCTTCGGGAACCACTTCCTGATGGTGACAGATACCAGGACACCCCCAGAAACACCCTATGTTTCGAGTCTTCGGGAACCACTTCCTGATGGTGACAGATACCAGGACACCCCCAGAAACACCCCAGAATGTGGAGGTCCAACTGCGGGCCGTGCGGGCGGCCCCTGAACCGGAGAACCCTTCTCACCCAAATGCTAAAGGAAACCCCTAAACGGCCCAAAACCTGCAGCGTCTAAACGGACAGATGTGTTCTTCTCTTCTTCCAATCCCAAACTCTCGAAAGCTTACCGACTCAAAATTTGTAACCAAAGGTGGACAGTGACAAGGACGAGGACCCCTGGCTCTTAAGCCACATCACCTTTCGCACAGAGCACCCCGGTACGCAGGTAAGGGTATTGGAGGGTGGAGGGTCGAAGCTTGGATGTGTAGTGCAGAATCAAGCTGGCCCTCGACCTTACATAAACGGTGACTTTTAGATGCCTGTGGCGGTTCCCGATTTAATTACGTGACATCAGATCCCAACGGTCTCGAACTTTGTGCCGAGCCAGGTGATCTTCCGGTAATTCTAAACCTCCGCAACAGTGATTTACACCACCAAGTGAATAAGGATATAAAGATCACGCATTTGTTCATTTGCTCACGCTATGCTTCCAAGGACCTTATAATCAGGGCCCCAGACCCCTTAAGGACCCCATCATAGGTCCCTGGGAGCCTATACGCACGGAGAGACTGGGAGCCCCCATGCAAAGGCGCGTGCAGGTGGAAACGGTGCCGAGCCAGAGTCTGAAGGCTGGTTTCGGCAGGTCTTCCTTGTCGTAGGATATTACTATTAGTATATATATATATATATATATATATATATATATATATATTATATGTAACTCTACATATATATATATATATATATATATATATATATATAATTATGTGTGTTTCGGAGGATTTTTGCAGCAGCTATTTACGTCAGCGGTGGGCATGGGAGCTTCGCACACGTGTGGGCACAAACAAGCAGCAGTTGTTCTTTGCCGTCTGCTATTAATGATATCTTTCGGGACGTTGGCACACCATTGTTTCTATAGCGCTGTCCATACGCCAGGCCACTCCATATTCAAGAAGGGGCCTTGTGTTACCTGTCCCTATCAGGAAATGATCCCTGCTGACTTTGCCCGCGGCCGCCTGATAGTCATCCATCGGGACGGCGAGTTTCCGCAACTTGGGCCTACTGAAGTACTGGAGAGACCCATGCACGTCCTGCCTCGGCGAGTGCATCCCAGTTCAATCGAAGCAAATGCATTGTCTTGTGTTTACCAGCCTTTTCTCCTATCCTTGTTTCTGCAGGCTTCCCCAAAACCTGTGCGTCGCTTATTATGTTAAGGTAGGCACCCACAACACCCCCTACACATGTAAATTGCGCCTATGAAGGAGAAAAAGGAACAGAGAGGCACCATTCTTTTCTGCTTCCTTAGGAAGGCGGAGCTGACATCGCTGCGAGCCTACCACGAGGAGCTTGTGGCCAGCGAGGTCAAACCAAGACAGCTAAGAGCGTGATTTGGGGGGGTAAGGTCGCATAAATGGCTTCAGACAAGTGCATGATAACATCACTAAGGAGCACGGTTTTGCGAAAGGTGGGGCGAGTTGCCGTCATCTAGGCAGAACGTGTGAGGGATCGGTTGGTTTCTTGGGTGGAGAAGCTTGGAGAGTCGCAAGTCTTCCCTATAGGTTGTTTGAGTTGGCTCCAGCTTTGCGACTACTTCGCCACCAATCGGTTCAAAATTAGCAGTGTCTCCAACGTGGCAGCATAGCAAGATTGTTTTGATTTGCATGTTCCGCATCGCCAATCCAGTCCCTATCTCTGTACAGTCGTGGCAGCCCCACGGCCCGAAGCCTTCCGAGAGAAAGCTCGAATCTGCCAGGGCGGAAGTGAGACCACCTTCGTCCTGGTGGAGTGCGTTCCTGGGCTAGAGAAGGGACTTGATAGAGCGTCCGGAGAGCCTTGAGGATGTCCATGTGGTGGGCAGATTCCTTTGAAACTTCATTTTCGGGGCCCAGAGTCACGGAACCCCCTTCTGAGTTGTTCTTCTTTTGTGATTGCTGATGGTTCTGCAAACACCGAGATTCCCTGATCATGCAGTGAGACCTCGGTTTCTTGCACCACTGCTGACAGCTGGAAGCCTGAATCACCAAGCCCTGCACAACAGCCTCCAAGCCAGTTTTTGGGCATCGGCGGAGTTCGACATAAGACAACACCTTTCATAGCTTGAAGGCCCAGCGCCCCGTAGCCCGAAGGCCTTCAAGCCAACCTGCTTTGCAGGTGAAGTGGGCCGGGGGATCACCCAGACTCTACGACGGCACCAAGTCCGCTCCTGCTGGCACGATGCTGGCTTTGAGTGACAAGGACCTCCCGCGAGTTTCGGGTTGAGCCAAACCCTCACCCAAATCTGTATGACTGAGCAGGAAGTCTAGTTCACAAGCTCTTACGCAAATCTCCGAAGCTTCCAAATCTCCGCAACTTCCAAGTTTTACTCAAGCCATCGACTTGCAACGTGGAGGCGCAATCGATGCTTGCTATACGAACCGTCTAATCCCGGAAACGTGAAGACTAAACCCGAAGCCCTGCAAGCTCTACAAGCCCAAGCCCAAGCCCTCTCTCTCTCTCTCTCTCTCTCTCTCTCTCTCTCTCTCTCTCTCTCTCTCTCTCTCTCTCTCTCTCCTATATATATATATATATATATATATGTAATGTGTGAATATATATATATATATATATATGTATATGCCCCAAGCCCGAAGCTGAAGCCCATAAGCCCTCCTTCCCAGGAGGTGCTCCTGGCCTCGAGCAAGGATATCTTCCAGGGCACTGCGCAACTCGGCATCCGAGGAGGTTAGCATAGAAGCCGGAAGAATGATAAATAGAGGGGCCGAAATAATTACGAATACTATTTTTTGGGGGGTTCCTTGCTATAATAGCTATAGCAAACTAGGCCCAAAATCCTGTTCTAATTGTTAAGGCCCTTATATTAGAAGCCTGAAGTTCCCTGGCACTAGTTTTTAGGGCTTCTTACTAGAACTATCGTAATATGCCGTACCGCAGAAACCTACATCAGCTGTCTACGGTTTAGAGCACGAAACCCTGTAGCGCATGATCTTGTAAGGTTTCGGGGGCGAGGGGCTGGGCATGGGGGTGACGTAGGATCCTAATCCGAGGTTGAGAATGTGTATATGCTTGTATATACGTATGTGTCATGCCATATGTATGTGACTATATATATATATATATATATAAATAAATCTGTATCTGTATGTATGTATGCGTATGTATACGCCAGGACCTAATATTGCGAGGGCCGTAACTTCGATCAGCCAGAATTGGCTTTGGGGGCACATTTGATGGGTGAAGCCAAATCCAGGCCCTAGCACGAGGTTTGCAGGGAGTGGGGATTCAGTAGAGGCTTGAGCGCGCGGCATGGTCGTGCGACTTCTTCTTGCAAGTTGATGCGAATTGGTTCACCCCAAGCCTTCAGCAAAAGCCGTACCGGTATCTGACAGTGTGCACTCTGATCTGACTCAACATGAACTCGAAGTAAGCCCAATTTACGTCCGCAGTCCGCAGTAGCTCGCCGCAAAAGCAGTCCTCAAAAAGTCCAGAGACAAGAGATCTCCTGACCCCCAGAAGCAGCAGTCCAATCCCAAAGCTTGCCGAAAGCTGAGGAACCCCATCAGTCTGCGACTTGCAGGACGGATTCGCACTAAGATTGAAGTCCAAGCTTTGGCTACAGAGCCAACAGGCTTATAGAGAACTTGGAAGTACAGCTATGCGACTCAGGCCTAGGAACCAGGGAGGCGGAGCCACAAAGCAGACGCCGACAAAAACATTTGCACATCATCGCGGAAGAGCCTCTATAAAATTTGTTGAAGGGGCTTACATGGGCTACACGATACTGGACTGAAACCACGGCATTCTCTGGGTACACGCTCAGGCCAGATGTGATTGTTTCAGGCTCTGGACTGCTTCGAGAGGAACGCACAGGCAACACTACGATAAAAATGCGCTGTTCGCGAATCTTGTTTTAGGATTTCTCCTGAAGCCTGTTGCAAACCAGCATGTTTATGTTTAACGCAGGTGTTCTTGGGGATGTCGCGCACACCCAGTTCGCGATGGCCAGGCATCTTGTCACACATTGTGGCCTAAGGAGTGTGTCGACGTGATCTGACATTGTCAGATCCATGCTTGGCTCCTAGAAGGGATCCGGAAAGGACCTGGATGGCTAGTTGTGTTTGACTGACCATCTGGTTCGAGGGATGCATGCTATTCCCAGCATCCTATGCCCCAGCCCACTCGCAAGAGCTGTATTTCAAGCCTCGGTCCGTGGAGCTGGCATACATGCCGAGCCTACCTTTGGGCACAGTTCAAAACCCCTTTGCAATTGCTGAAAAGTGGGAATCTAACTATGTGGAGCTGCGCGAGTCGTACGACGAGTCTAAGAACTGTCTGGAAAGAAGGCATGTGAGCTAGCCAAAGGATATAGTGCTTCAAAATGCAAGCGGTGGCTATGGGAAAGAGGGGTGCCCAAACCGTTTAAAGCTGGCTGCGCGAGGTTCGCTTGGGTGCAGTCCGTTTTCGACCTCAGTTACCTTCATCATGGTTCCGTGTTGAAGCGGCCCAGGCAGGTCCGTGTGAAGTTGGATGAGACTGCAGCCTTCAGACCGATGTTACCATGGGAACCCGTGAACAAAGGCTGTCCATGAAAGCATCCTCGAGTCCCAGTGTCCCTTCCGAGTTCCAACCGTGTCCTCTACAGCCATGTTCCCCGGAAGAGCCTAGCCTAGCGTGCCCAGATGCACTGTTGCTAAAGTAAGTGATTAGATGCATCCTTGTCGGAATCGCAAGCTGTCACTTTAGACGTCTTCGTTTCTGTGTCCTCATCCCGTCGTCCGGGCAGGCTTCCCATCACTACTCACTTTGCCGACCGCTTCTCGGCAGCACGAGCTTCCGATGGGATGCATAACAGGTATTGTGCTGATACTAACACGATGACAAGAAGGAAATTAGGCCTCTTGCTCCACACCCTTCCCCACACCTACCTTTGCCGCCTGATTCGTTGCTGCGGATGTGCGACATGCGAACGTCTCAAAGAACTGGCCTTCGTGAGCCTTTTGGGCTTCTAGGGTTAGGTTCACATGTGCCCTGTGGCCTTACTTACAGTATTACAGATGCCGTAGAATGCAGAACCGTTGTGTGGTGCAGCCCTTTGCCAGCGGATTCTGCGGACCTCCAGCACTCATCCCTCAATTGCAGACCTCCAACCCCCACAGTGCTGAAATACTGGGTGTCCCTTTACTGGTGGTGGCCCTGGTCGTGGTCGTAGTTATTGGTATTGTTACATCTGTTCACAGTTGCTTTAATATTGGCCTCTTCGTTATTGTCTTCCTTTTTTCGGGCCATGGCTGGCAGCATGTTTAGTGTTGCTCTTATGCATTATGATTATTGTTTTTATTCTTGCCTTACTTCAATTGACTAGCACCATGCTTTTCAGTGTTATGGCTATTACTGTTGTTATTGTTGTCAGTATTACTGTTGTTATTATGAACACTATGTTCCTTGTTAGCCGTGGTTGTTCTTCTTATTCTTCTCATTATTCCTATGACTTTTGTGGTTGTTCTTGTTCTTCATAAGTTCATACTACTTGTTGAACATGAATCTGAACTTGTACTGTCATAGATATTCTTGTTGTGATCATTACCGTATTCTTGGTGTTTTCATTGTTCCGATTTTCATTCTTCTTATTAGTATTACTACTTGCCATATCATTACTGTGATTTCGTTGTTTTCGTCATTGTTGGCATTTTTTTGGATTGCTGCTGCTGCTGTGGTTGCTGCTGTTGTTGTTGTTGTTGCTGCTGTTGCTGTCGTTGCTGTTGCTGTTGCTGGCGTTGTTGTTGCTGTTGTTGTTGCTGTTGTTGTTGCCGTTGTTGTTGGCGTTGGCGTTGGTGTTGGTGTTCGTTGCTGTTGGTCGTGGCTGTAGTTGTGCTTCTGCTTGTTGTTGGTGTTGGTGTTGGTTTGTTGTTTTTAGAAGCCCCGGTCTGCAAGTTCCCTCCTAAAGCGGGGCTATAAACAGTGTTTAATTGTTTGGGGTTTTTCCTGTGGTTGCAGTTCTTGCGAGAATTGGTTTGTCAATTGTTCAAACAACAGCTGCCAACATTTTTCTACTTTAAACTGTAAACCCTGGTTTCTCTGTACTTTAACCTCTACGTTGTCTATTTTATTTGGTAATTTATCCATTTTAACCTCTGGATTCCCCAGCTTCTGTTTCTTTGCAACACTTCATCGTGCAATTGTTGTAGCAATTGTTTCGACAGACAGTCAAAAAGTTTTCGCACCAATTGCCACAAGTTCTAAACAATTGCCACAGAGCCTGGGTGCGCCAGTGTATCACAGGGGGCTTTTAGCAACACCATGCAACACCTAAGGTGCTGGTGTTGGTGTTGTCGTTGGTGTTGTTCTTCTGGTTGTTGTTGTTGGAGGTGCTGGGGCTGGTGCTGGTGCTAGTTGCTGTTGCTGTTGCTGTTGATGGTGGAGTTGGTGTTGGTGTTGGTTGCGGTGGTGGTGGAGCTGGAGCTGGTGCTGTCTGCTGAGGCTGGTTGGGGTGGGGGTGTTCTTGTTGGTGTCGGCGTTGTTGGTGGCCCTGTTTTTGATGTTGGTGCCTTTGTCGGTGGTGTTGGTGGTAGTGTTGCTTTGTTGTTGCTGTGGCTGTTGCTGTTGCTGCTGTTGCTGTCGTGACATTGTTGGGGTTGTGATTGTCGTTGTTGTCGTCGCCGCCGTTGTTGCCGCCGTCACTGCCGCTGTCATGCTTCGTGTTGCTACTGCTGATGCTTGTGTTTTTCTTGTTGTCTTGTTGCTGGTTTTGTGTGCTCGATAATGTTGGAAGCTTTTGGACTGGTTGGGTGTGTGTTGTTGTGTGCTTGCTCGCTTGTTCGCAGGTTTGCTGTGTTGGTGATTTGCCGTCGTTTGTTACCAGAAGTTGTTACACCTGCTGAAGATGACATGAACTGTTCTCATGGTAATGATGGAGGTGGTGTTTCTCAGTGCACGCATGAAGTTTTGAGTAGGACATAGTGAGCTTTCTGACAATGGCAATGACAATCCTCGTCATCGCCAAAATCAAACGTAGTCATCATCATCGTGCGCACCATCACGTTGTTGTTGCTGCTGCTGCAGTCGTTGCTTTCGACTGGGCTGTTGATTGCTGTTCTTGCTGTTGCTGCTTTTGCCGTGTTCGTGAGGATGGCGGTTGCGGATTCCTGTGACAATGGCCAACATGATTTTATGGGTAATGCAGAGGTTGACAGAAAATATAGCCATTCTGGGCTTGATTCGATGGTGCTGCACTGAAGATGGAGATGGTCGGGGCGCAGGTGCCGGCGTTGGTTTTCCGTCCGCCCACTCGTTTGAGCCGAGGATTGGCTTACATGCTCTCTGCATTGGGCAAGGATGGCGGCGAGTGGGAGAGCGTCTTGGCTTCTCCTCATGATTTGTCTCGCGTGGCCGTGGCTGTGCTGTTTAATACTGGAGGTCAACAAAGGCTTATCATTATCATAAGATGTCTCAAAATCATGAATTTTGCAGAGGTGACCAGAACAGAAAGCAGAAAACTGTGCAGAATCTCCCGATAAAGCGAACACTGATTCTGAACAGTTTGCACGTGGGGCCCGGCAGACCTACTTCGTGGCCTCATCACTCAGTCAGAACCTAGCGCATGAACGAGGTCAGGGGTGACTTTTTGCGCCGACCCTTGTAGCCTTGAGGGACTCGACCGGCACTCGCTCTTACCTATTGCCCCATGCCCCGATGGGACGTGCAACAACGCCAAGGCGAGCTGACCGCCGTGTCTGAGGGCACCGAGCAGTTTTGGCTTTGATGTGATATGTCAAAGCAGGGGTTGCTGTCACCCTGAACACATCCGATTGCCTCAACTTGATGAATCCCCAAAGATGTAATCGACAAGTCGTCTTGCATATTGAGCGTCCGAACATCAACATGTCCCTTGGGATGCTTTCCCAAGACAGACTCAAGCTTGGCCGACGTGCAACTGAGAGTCCGAAGCACGTGATTCCGGCCATCAGAGCTGGATGCACAGGTTTGTTTTTTCTCCATCCTTAACCCAGCTGGCATGTGCAACACGTCTGCAGGCTTGTAAGACATGTTTTATAGGTTGTATGTGATTTGTGTAGTAGTGGGTGTTCCGAGAACTACTGCGTGCTGCAGTAGTGGTTGATGAAAGCTCCAAGCCTTCGTCACACCTCACAGGGGTATGCATGAGCTGCTGCGGTCCTTTGGCTTGGACATCGTATTTCAACGTGAGCTTTGCAAAGGACCACCTGGCTCATGCCACATTGAGAGGAGACTCCTCGCATTCGCGTTTAAGATGGGAGATCTGGGGGACGGCCTCGCTGGAAAAACTGTGACTGTGAGCATGCGCTGTGCAGGCCCATATACGCATGTAGGCTTTCCCAAAAGAGCGCGCCAGGGTGACACTCGTGATCCGCATCGAGTCACGAACGAATAAATACCGCAACCAGAAATCTGCTAATGGTCGAAGATGCCGTCAAGGATGACGGTTGTGGTGATGGCAGTAACGCGAGAGAGCCCGATCATGATGACGAAACAGCATGCAATAAGAGCAACGAGGATTGGATTACCACTGCCACGACGACCTGAACCACAGCTAGCAAAACAGCAGCTGAACCAGCAGCATCATGAGCAGGCACCTAATTTGTAAAGACAGCAACAGCTCTGCCTACTCGGCACAGGACAAAGAGGCCGAGATGGTCATGGCTTCCTTGAGGTGTGCTGGCAAGTTGTAAATGTTCCGGCCGCGCTTGAGTTGTCATTGTTAGGTAGCTCAGAGATTTCTACACCGCAGGAAGGGGCCAGCCAGTGTTCGGGATACTTGTGCCACGAGGTCGTAACATATGAAGACCTGGACGCTACGGTTCGCCTTCTGACAAGGATAGAATAGAAGGACTCAGCCTCTTGGGAGGATGTACTGCAGAAGGGCACCGCCTAGACCAAAACTTCAAGCACAAGAGTATACAGAGTGCAATCGGAGGAGCGCGGGCTGCAAGCCCCGTCCATCTACTAAAGGCTTGCTGTAGCCATTCCGAGTCTTGAACCCTTGGCCTTGATCAAAAAATCCCAAGTCTCTACACAAGCCAAACCGCTGAGGATTTTGGACACATCCGAATCCGTTCAGGCAAATCTTCCGCGAGGCCGACGAGGACGGCTCGGGAGATCTGGACCACGGGGAGCTGCGTGCGGCCCTAGGCCGCTTGCCAGGAAATGAATCATGAACGGCGCACCATGTATTCTGAAAGCTACTTACCGTGTACATAGAAGAAAGTCATGGATAAACAGATTCACAGGTCACCACAAATATGGAAGTTTAAACTCGTAATGATAGATAACGTACTTTATATATAATCATGTTTATATATATATATATATGTATAGAGAGAATCACATAGCAAGATACCTGTAGCGGATACTTGAAGGTAAAAATCTCAGACCCTCAACATAATCATTGACATGCACCCCCGGTCCGAAACCTACAGGTATGCTCAATCCAAAGCGCTGAGCTTCAGCTCGAGTTTCGGGTTGTAGAAGAACTCGACCCAATGCCGAAATCAACGCAGCTTTCGGGAACGGATCCAATCCTTGAGCCTAAGCGCCGAAGCTGCAAGTCCTGTGACTTTGTTTCTCGCCACGTGCACTCCAAGTTTCAGGAAAGTTCCGCGTGCGAGATCGTGCCCGCGGCTGCAAACTTTGGTTCGGGGCTGGCATTAAGTCAAGCTCAAGCGGCTGCTGTGTAGTTTTGTTGCCCAGAAGAGCCAATAACGTTCTCTCGTCATGCTACAGTACCAGGATTCTCACCTCAGGAGTGCTTTTGCTGTGGCACTTGCATGCTCTTGTCCGATCGCAGCCAGCCCACAGGGAATTCATCTGCAAAACACAGAAAGGAATAGTGACAACGCAGCCGTAGGAGGAGTAGTAGTAGAAGCACAGTCAGCCCAACAGACGGCCCACCTTGGGCACAGGAATCCCTTGGCTTGCAGCCTGTCTAAGGCACCACTCGCACAAACCACGAAGAAACCTGCACACCGAAGACCGAATTGAGGATGAAGGCACATCACGATAATGACGATAATATTTCGCGGATCGTTGTGTCGATGATGGTAAGGATGCTGGGGCTAGCCGCATTACTTCCAGTCACTAGTCTTGGCGTGCCTTACACTGTGGTGTACCCATGTTCACAGATTCGAGTATTTCCTGGAGGCATCGACCTGGGCCACCTGCTCATGTTTGCAGCAGCACCTGCGTAGCTGTGCAGAGCGTAGCCTTGACCCCGTGGTACATAGTTCTTGTGCTTTCGTGATTATTGCGTCGGCATGATTTGGAGGGGCACGTCTGCCGCTCATACTGGGCCGAAAATCTCAGTACACATTGTCTTGCCTGCCCTGGGCCCAACACATGTGAAAAGGCCGATACTCGATCCCGATCTTCGCAAGATTTCGCAAGTCTCGAATCGGGCTCAGCTGCTTGAGGATTGAAGTTGCTGCAGATCCCTTACCCAGACCTTGAGATGCTCTTCCTCCTCCTGGATGAGGACCTAGGCCTTAAAGCCAGGGCCATGGTAAAAACCGAAGCCAGGGCTGGGCCGCCACAGTGCGGTCAAAACACGAGGCCTATGGCCTATGGTCACATCACGACACACTTTAAGATCTGATAACATGCAGGACAACAAGGGCGTCATCAAGTGCGACTACTTCTTCCGTGGTGTCGCAAAACTGCGTGGCCTTGCCAAGGCCAAGGACCTGCATCAGTTGATACTTGGCTGAAAGCTCCATTGCTGTTGTTGCTTCACAGGTAAAGGACGTGGCTGGTTACTTTCCAAGTAAAAAATGCTAGGAAGGAAGTAGTAGGTAGATTCATGTCGGGTCACGTGTACGACGTACGCGCTAGGCCAACCCAGTTGTCGTTTACATCTACACGCCCGAGATTGCCCAGTAAACGAGGTCCATCGACCTCAACCGGCGAATGTTGTGGGTGGATGAAAGCACTTCGAAGATTTCAGGCCGGGCGTTGGCAGACTAGAAGTTCGTTCCCCCCCCATTGCTAGTTTCTGTATTTCAGAGGCTTGTAGTCTGCATGGTGCCATCATGGTGCCTGGTTTTACGTTCCACTACTCGGGTATAGAGATGTACAGGGTGCTCATTGGACGTTGCACATGTGTGATTTCGGTGATCTGGACAGATGAGGAATGGAATGGAACGGTGTTTGATCAGGCTCATTCATTCACTAACCATTCAGCGAACGTAGATCCGTCGAAGTCTTTCTCGCCAGTGGGTGACCAAGTGCTCCCGATACTTGACGACGGCTGCTTTTCTTTCAGCTGTGTGCCTGTGTCTTCCCTGCGTCCGCCGAAGTCCATCGTAGACATCGGTTTGTTCTGGCCCCATCGCCTGCAGAAGCGAACGACATCCTGATGGACATGGTCGATCACCTGGACGAGATGGATACACACATTGTCAAAGGACCCATGGGCAACGCAAATCGTTTGCCTCGCTGCACCCCGTATTATCGGCGCAAAGGGGGAGTCTGTTTCCCAGTGCGGAGCCTTAAACCGAAAGTCGAGAGCCTCCAGATAATCATAATATATTATAGGTGATAGTAGAGTTTATTCTGAATAGAAGTACAATCACATAACCTCGATGGTCAGGAGAGTCCGATGGCAAAGATCCAGTAATCGCGGCCAGGTGCAGGGCCCAGATGCTCTGTTGGCAGACGTTCCCCTCCAGTGCTCTTGCGATGCTAGTTCGTGGCTGTGATCGTGCAGCCTTAAGTTCAGCAGATGGTTCCACCGCTGTGCATTAAGCTCATTGTGCCCTTGCAAGGTCAACCAGAGCAACACGGCTTTAACTCTCCCAGAGCCCCATAGACCCTAAACTCTCCCAAGAATGTTATGAGATGATGGGGGAGCTTCACAGCCCTTCGGCTTGCCGAGGCGAGGTAGAGAGCCAGTCTCCAAAGGCGCCTGCTGCACCGATTTTGGTGCTGAGCATTGGTCGGTTCTCAAGTGTTTCTTTCGCCCAGGGTGTTTATGTCCTTGAGTGTTTTCCCGGAAGTTTTCAGAGCATGCTTGAGAGCAGCACTGTTTCCGTTGTCGTTATGTACTATGGCTTCCTTGGCCAACTGCTTCAAGGAAGTAGCTTTCCAGTGCGTGCTTGCGTTGTATGTTTTCATGAATCAAGCGATGGGCATGAGATGGGCTTGGAGTTCTGATAGGAGCTCCCTGCACTGAAACACGACGCACAACACACAATCCCGCAGTCCCGACACCGACCTTGCCGGATGCAGGGCGTATCCTACGTGGTGTTTGGAAAGATGGCCGCGACCTCAGCTCCGGAGAAGGTTTTTGTGGCCTGACCAACCGGCCATCTTCTGTGGTCAGCCCTTATAGGATCCGGTACAGTAACGAAGCGTTCGCGGGTGTGTTGGAGCGATTCCGTGCGACATGATGATTTCAGCTGGGAGATTTAAAGCAGGAATAGCCGAATAGTCTAAGTCTCTGAATGCTCGGGTTGCGAGACACCTCGGCTAGGACCTTCGGCCGCAGGTTCCTTGTAGACCGACAGAACAGCACAGCAACCATATCCGCCGTGCCCGTGGAACGCGCAACCTGCATCAACCTGCCAGTTTCTTAAATCCGTTCGGCTCCGCTGAAACCGGAGCCGTAAAACAAACAGAACATGCACATCCTAACTTGGGAAACTTCAAACAATGTCCACAGTGTCCCATATAAAGGACCAGGACTCAAGTGACATGACACCGAAAGAGCCACCTCCGCCCTGCCCTTCCCTTCCATAGCCCCAAATCAACAACGCAATGCATCCCAGGCCGGCCCATGCGCCAGGGCTCAAAAAATCCTTGGATCGACTTCGAGGAGTTGCAGAAAGATGCCAAGGAGACTCCAGGGTTTACCAGATTGATGCCAGCTCTGGAACTCAAGATTGGAATCCCGGTGTTTCCAGGGCAGAGCCGGGGTGAATGTCGCATTTCTTGATCGAAGGTGGGTCAGGCTCAGAGTTTCGAGTTGACTCGGCGTCCTGGGTTCTGATTCTAGTTGCTTTGCTTCTGTGACAACAAGGTTCGGGGCTCGGGGTATACTTTTGCCGAAGATTTTCGAAGCCTCACCAGGAGATACGCAAGAAGAACGCGTCGCCACTCTTCTGCATCGATGCTTTCCACCCAGGGTGGGCAGGTGCTGAAGCAGCCCCAAGTTCAATTTATTGTCAGAACCCTTCGGTACCGAAACGAAGCAGGAAGCTGACCGAGCAGGGAACCCACGACAAAAAGCCTCTTATGACTTATGACGACGCTGGATTTGAAGGCTTCACGGGCTAGACGCCAAATGCTGGGGTCAGGCGGCCATGAACTTATGTCAACTGGCCGACGCGAAACTGAACGAGCTACGTAGTTTCTGGAGCCTTGTTTCGGATGCGCAGCAGTGTGTCAATCACGGCTCCCGATTTTGCCTAAGGAAGCGGCGTGCAGAGGCCTGGAGATCTTGTCACTGAACAGCTCCGACTCCCCACCGTGTTTGCATGGTTCGGGTCGTAAGTTGTGCTGCAGAAGCGGGGACCATGACTGTTTGGGTATCGAGGTAATATTTTCGTGAGTCCTTGAACCAAAGCGACACGAGTGCCGCATCTAAACTGTCATCTCACAGCCGCGGTTTCGTTGTGTTTTTAGCTGGCATGATGGCCGCTTTCCACTGGCCACGGCCACGCCCACATGTTTGCCGTGAAGTGATCGCGTCCAGAGTTGCTTTCATTACTTCCTGGATGCCATGCTAAAACCGAACACAGAACTGAATGGCCCGCAGGTTCCCAAAGTAATTCATGAGCACAACGGCCGTTCCCGTTTGTCAACTTTGTAGTCCTATAGACAACAAGCGCTCCTGGAAGGTCCGAGCAGGTAAGCCACAACCGCCATCCCTCAGTAGCAACCCATTCATGTCCCTATATTAACTGGCATTCTACACCCTACAGTACCCGCAAACCAAACTACTGAAGCCATTTAGGTTGCATTGTTGTGTTTATGTGTGTATATATATATATATATACATACGTGTGTGTGTGTTCTCAGTCATACACATACTTATACCTATCTATATATATATATACATACACATACCTACACACACATGTGTGCGTCTCTGTGTGTGCGCTTATGACACATAGTTGCACATACACATATGTGCTTTCTATGTATGTATATACATATGTGTATATATATATATATATATATATACATATGCATGTATGGACACAGTGTACATGTTATGCCTTTGCTTGATTTCGTGGCGGCACAGGCGGAGGCGAAGCGACTCGCTGAGGCGAAGCCGTCCCTCGGCTTTGAGTTTCGTTTTTCGGGCTCCTGCGCCCGAGGGACCCCCCTAGTATAGTTAGCATGTACGTATGTATGATATTGTCTGCGAGGCTGTAAGGATGAATCCATGTGAGTCCTTCAGCATTGGGGCGCATGGTTTTTCGGTTTGTCGAATCCAAAATGCCTAAGGCTTTGGTGAGGATCGATACAACAGCTGCTTGAGTGTGTCTTTGGGTTGGGACACATTTCACGGCAGGCAGGCCAAAGAAGGCGCCACTAATCTTCGACAACGTGCTGAATGAGCCGGGATTTTTGGTTTAGACTTTCGCTTCCCACCAGCGCTTTGAGGTGCCTAACACCGCTCATTCCAAGATGTCGAACGCCAACAACCACAGTACTGCCAGTGAAGACACCGAAAACAATCTGAAGTGAACAATTGTAGATTCAGGTGCTCAACACCAAGAGCCTCGCTCAGCATGTTCTTGGGTTGCCCTTGGTTTTGCCAGATTTTGCCAGCTCAGGAAGAAGAAGCGCAACAGCCTTGACGAAACTCTGCTGATTCCACGGCGACAGAGGGGGCTGTGACGTGTGTTGTTTCCAGTTTTCGGTGTAACTTTTTCAATTACCGCATGGATCTCATGTTCGAGTGGACACACGAAATCCACCTCAAGACATCAACTAGGAGCTCATTCCCTCAACCATCGTTTCGAACGTGATGATGGGTATGGACATCTATATGATGACTGCTACTGTTTTGAGGTTTGGTATGGTTTCTTGGGTCAGACTTGCAGGTTGGGAAGCTTCAGATACTTGATGATACTTGGGCCCTTGACATATTACAAAATGATGGGGGGTATGGTGTGGGAGAATGAAAATTGCATACAGGCTCCAGGAAAAGCGGTAGCAGGGTACAGGCTTAAGTGGCCCAAACCGTATAGACCCTTCAGCTCTGCTGAGGACGATCAGCCAACTCCCCCGCCGCTCCCGGCACATCTGCAGATCCTCAAGGAAGACCGCGACAGGACCCTGTTTTGGTTTTGGAGGGAATCGGACAGGTATGACAATGTTGAAAGTCCTTAAACGGGCTCGCGAAGCAGATATGACTACACTACAGAAGGGAAGAAGAAACTCTAGGTCGGCGCGGGTTCAAGTAACGAAAATGAGTGTAGTACAACTTGCCTTATTTGGCTGACTGATGAGAAGATTATAGGTCGTCTCAGAATTGGAGAGATTTTGTGTCTCGGCAGGGGAATCGTTTCGAATCGCCTGCTTATGCTCGTTCCAACCAAGAACTGTGTGCCATCAGGAGAAAGAACGAGAAGTTCGTTGTCAAGCAGAAGAAGAAGAGGGCTTTCACCACGGGGTGAGCTTAAATTTCATTGTTCCCAACACTCTACCCTCAAAATTGCGAGTGATCGCCCAGGTTTCATTAGAGTATGCTTGCTATGCATGTGGAAGAGGAGTTTCTCTCAGGTTACCGGGGACGCGTAGGATGGGAACTGGGACCCCGTGGCGCCCTCAAAAATACAAGCACCAAGATGCCAAACCCTAGACCGTAACCCAAATACCAGAACCCTAAGCCCACCAAAAGAAGGGATCCACAGATGACAGGACATAAATAGGGAGTCAGAAATGACAGGAGTGCAATTGTCGGGACACATCCTCAGTGTTGCCGCGTAGCACGATAAGAACACGTCCCATTGTGTTGTGCTTGCTTATCCATAATACCCAGCACCCCATTACCAGTCTGAGAACCCGCACAGGGCATTGTCCTAAACCGGTTGACTCACCCTTTGGTATCTTAATTCACGTTGGTGGTTAATGATCTGGGCTACGTGTGCTTCCCGCATTTGGGAACCACCTCAGCACCACGGCCGTCACCAGTGGCAGTGTTTTGGTGCCTTATATCTAGTTCGTATTCATATCGATGTGTCAGTTCTATGCTACTAAATCCATCCACAGTTTCAGAGACTGGTTGTCGGACGTGACGCTGCAGCCCACAGAAGTGGTAGAAGTCGCGGGAGTTCGACTGGTCAAGCCAGCGTTCTTCCTTGAATGTCACGTGCCGGCACCATCGAAGCCACGACCGGACCGGAGCCCCAAATTTGAAGCCCGCAAGCCCAAAGAAACAATAATGAAAACTGGCTCCCTAAAATCGGAGACCCAACAAGCAGCTAATTATCGCGTTTTGCTCACAGCAGCATTTCCTGACTCGCTTTAATCCGACAGAGTGCTTTTCCGTCCTGTTTCACTGCATCAGATATCGTATATAAGAAGGCCCTGTTTTTGCCGGCAGCCTTCTTCTCGTCTTACGAGATTGGAGGTCAAAGACTCGAGGAGGAGTTCAGAATTTGCAGCTCTGATACTTTCGTCAAACCTCCGTCAGCACCCACAACGAGGCTCCTGGCAATAGCGTTCATGGTGTAGTGTTGAAACCGTAGCCGAAACAGCTGAAAGGAGTCTGCCAGGCAAACAAGTCTCACCCCCATGTTTCGCCGACGGGCCCGGCAACCTGCAAGAGGAAAGACCGAATAATTTCGTCCGTGCCTCGATTTCCAACAACCCATCGGTTGCGTTTTTAGGTTATTCGGCACTCGTGTACTGCGTCCCTGTGGTAACATCACCATCTGTGTGTCATTTCGTGTTGCTGCTTTTTGCTCGCCTTCCAACTTCGTGCTGTTGGTTTTGCAGGGACTCACGTCCTAGCGACAGGTACTGGTTGGGTTCGGTATATTTTCGGCAGGCCTGAAAACCCTTACATTCTGAGCCCCTGACTGTAATTCGCAATGTCTGCATGTATGACTTTCGATGCGCCAGTCCCACCCACGCTGCTCCAATCTGTAAACCGAGGGTGCTTGACTTTCGATCTTCATTTTGTGCTCAAGAGTGCCAGAGGCTAACGCATTGACGAGCTTTCTGTTTTGGTTAACTTTCCGCCCAGGTTCTAAGTTGCTACAGGGTCTGCAAACTGTAATCCCCGTGGTGCTTTTCGGAAGTACAGTATGCCGCCTCCTGTGCGCTACAAGCCGCCTTTGCCGGTTCGTTTCAAGGCGCAGAGTTGCCGGAGTCGGAATAGGCAAAGTTAAGCAAAAGCTTACTTTTTATCTCTTTTCTCTTGGATGGCTGGGTTAATCAGCACCCATCATAGCCCACAGAGTATTATTTCACCATGGGGCATAATTCTTCTGGAGGTGGAGGTGTTGCAGAACTGCCAGAATTTATGTTTCGGAATAACCCGAAAACTTCGACAATGGTTGTAGAGCACGATTCACTGTTCTGTTGAAGCGCGCAAGTATCCGCATTTGGACCACCACGCTTTTCAGCACGATGCATGTGTTTGTTCATGATCTTCACGAAAGCCCCTGCAGTGTGAGCCAGTGTAAAACACCATGTAGCACTGTTGTTCACGAACCTTCCCAGTGAGCAGGTTCCGAAGGGCAACATTGTGCCCCTGGCGCCCAACGAGCCGGACATCCAGCTGGGAAAGGCACAGCTCGTTCCCCGGAACCCCTTAAAGTCGTCAAGATGTACGAGACTTGCTTGCAGAAGCGTACTTTAGATTCCTCCGAGTCTTGAAACTCCTTTGGCAGACACTGGTGGCTGCCAAGCCGCATCGCATCACTGCAGACCAGATCGAGCTCGGGCGGCGCACGCTCAGGAGGCTTGAAGAGGGCTTGGGGAGTTGTGGCACAGGACATGTGTCCAGACTGCTATTACACCCTGTCTAACACTCAAAACAGCAGAATGGACGAGCAGCCGTCAGGCCGACGCTGGCCCCCATGGGCTCTACACTCTAAACCCAAACGCCGTGCCAAACCCATGCTTCCAGAGTGTGTGTGTGTAGAGCGCAGGGTAGCCTCAACGGGTTGCTCCGGTAGAATCCTGGGCTTCGGCTCACGCTGCCGGGAGTATCTGGGCTCACACTTCAGCCCGTTGCCTACTGTTGTGCTGGACAGTGCGGCTCCAGCCGACTCTACCTGCTAGCCAGGGGTTGCAAGTAACATTGTGCGCCATACAGTACTGTAGTTTCAGTCGGGCAGTGTGACCAAAGTACTGCGTGCCTGCTGGCAGGTTGATGGGGCGAAAGGGCGACTTCCTTGTCAACGTTCATGCCACCTACGCCGTGTCCTGCCTTCACAGCCAACCAAGCTTTTTTCATAACTCTACCTAGCCCAGGCTGCCCTTGAGGTGTAGAACATCGTGTCTCTCGACCGATCTTGACCTTTCCATCTAGTGGATCTGCTTATCTATCCAGCTATCTACCAATCTATCGCACTATTTAGGGATGTAACTGTCGATCGGTTTCTTTGTATCTCTCTTTCTCTCCGTTCATCTACCTACCTACCTACCTACCTACCTACATGAGCTACCTACCTACCTACCGATCGAGCTATCCATCTTTGGAGCTATCTATGCATCCATCCATCCATCCATCCATCAATCCGTCTGTTTACCAACCGTTCGATCTGTCCATCTGTCTATCTATCTGGCTATCTATCAGTCGAACTACCTCTAACCATCTATCTACCTATCTTTGTGTGCGTCATTCTATAGCTACACCAGTACACACATGCACGCAATCACATATGCGTACACTGACATACATACGTACGTACATACTTACATGCGTTCATACATGCACACATGTGTGATGCAACTGTCTATCTGTGCAGATTTGCTTGTATCTCTTCCTCCCTCTCTCTTCTGTATGTATTTTCTTTGCAGATATCGGTATTTTGAATGTATTTCCATGTATGTACTGTATGTATGTACACCCGTGAGGAAGCATGTGCTGCAATGCATTGCTGGCATTGTGGGATGTTCGGCCAGGGACATCATTGGTGTGAAACCAGATGAGTCTCAAGAAGTGTACCCGAGCTACGAGAGTCCAGAGCCTCGACAGGACCGCGAATCCTGAACTCCCGACGGCATGATGGACAACCTCTATCAAGCCTTGACTCTGGAAGTTCTTCGAGTCAGCGTGTCGTAGCGCTTTGTCACACGAGCTTCCCGCAACAACTCCGTGCACCCAGAACGCCACCTGTGAGAGCTTCGGACCTTGCAACCCTTAGACCCTGCACTGACGTTTGTGAGGTCACCCAGAAGCCCCATGGCACCAGGGCCGCAAGAAGTTGAGACCTACATGCAGTTGTAAGAGGCTCACAGTGTCAGCAAGGTCAGTGGCACCCCAATTCCCGCACTTCGGATTCCAGTCCTCCATGTGCAGAGCTTTGAATCCTGGGAGTCGCTACAGTATTGCTTCTTGCTGCTATTGACGGCTGGTGGTGGTGAAACAAGCACAACTATCGATGAGTTTACGCCCCACATGTCTCCATACTATGAGGGATGTTTCAGACGTGCGTTGCATGTCGTGGAGAGAGAGAGAGAGAGAGAGAGAGAGAGAGAGAGAGAGAGAGAGAGAGAGAGAGAGAGAGAGAGAGAGAGAGAGAGAGAGACGGGTGTGCGTGTGGGTGTGTGTTTGTGTGTTTGTGTGTTTGTTTGTTTGTTTGTTTGTTCGTTTGTTTGTTTGTTTGTTTGTTTGTGTTGGTGTTCGTTTGCGTGTGTACACGCCAGATATCCTGCATGCGCAGCGATTACTTTACGGAGGGAGGCATTCTCAATGACAGCGGCAGGGTGAACGCGTGTACAGTCCGGAGTCACCGACGTATAGATCCTACCCGAAGCCTTGAACCTCAACCCCAACTCAGGTGTAAAGATGGGGCAGGGGAAGGGAAACATCGAGTACTTCGTGGCCCGCGTCCCTGCAGGGCGGGTGATGTTCAAGATTCTTGTTTGCAGGTTCATGCTGCACAATGGTCATTTGCTTCCTGTTTGGGGTGCGCGTGAACCAAGCAACCTGCGCCTTAGATTCAGCAACGTAATAGCAATTTAAAAGTACTGCGATGCAGTATATGTTTAAATACGCATAGTGTTCCTTGTAATGACGCCGTAATTCATGACAACGAAGCTGGCAGTGGCGGCACGAGGCTTAAAAACAGCAAGAGGTTCCCGGAACTCAATGAGTATCATAACCTGAAAAGATTAGCAGGGTCCTGAACTTCGGTTCGCTCCTTCCACTTTAAAGCTGAACGAACATTTGTTCTCAGGATACCGTCCATCAATCCATTGCCAGGCTGGGGTGCAAAAACTTGTGTGTAGAGATTTCCAGATCGTTGCCATTACGTTCGTATTGAAGCCAAGGCTCACAACATGTGCGACTGCACACTTACAGGGTGCCCACCGTTTTTGCTGCAGATGTTGTTGCCTGTCTCATTGCAGAGTGTGCCTATTCTGCCAGACTGCTATGAATAGTTTTGCTACGGCTCGTCCCGAATCCAAATTCTACCGGTGCAACGAGCAGCTCCGCACTGTACTTGGCCTCCGAGAAGCAAAGTGCACGATCGAATTTCGCTGGGCGACAAGAGTATTTGCGAGCCGTGGCTTGGCAGGATACAATCCCAACTTGCGGGCTTTCCGTGAAATCGCTGATAAGCACCTTACCTGCACATACTGTTAGGACTTTTCAATCATCTGCGAGTTTCAAGCTTCGATCTGTTCCCTGCTGTTTGCAGTTATCTTGGGATGAGAGATGGACGAGCAGCACATGAATCAGGATGGTGCTGTTGCAGGAGTGAAGGGAGATGAATTCCAACCATAAGAATGCTTTCAGGCTGCCGGGTGGGGGGGGAAGCCTTTCTGGGGACCTGTGGTCGTTGCTGTTGGATCTTCTGCCTATCGCTCCCACGAGCGACGCCGACCAACATGTTTTGTTTAGAGCGGCTATCAGTTCTCTACACACACAGCAATAACGATTTACCATAACAGCCGGTCTAGAACAGTATCACAGAACAGCGTTTATCTATAGCAGCATTAGGCCCAACAAACTACATGCAATGAGGTGCACGCTCACGAAAGCTATTGCCACAGCAGGGCAGTTATCACCAAGACCAACAGTGCTCTTTTATTGTCGCCAGCTGCCTTGATTGGTCTGTCGGGAGCCGGCCGTCTGACAGTTTGCTCTAGGGATCTGGGTACATGCGGATGTGCTTGATTGCAGAATTTTCCGGGCTGAAGGTCTGCTTTTAGTGTGTTTTGAGAACGGGCTTCAAAAGCTTGCTGAGGATGCCCATGGCGACGAAGTTCCGTCAGCAGTACAACAACTTCGGTGATTTGTCCAAAGGCCGTCTCTAGGCTTGGATGAGATGAGATTCATTTGCGAGATGGATGGGAACATCGAATTTGGGTTTGCTAGGTGAGGGCGCAGGTCAAACTTTCCATGCAGAACGAAAGTTGAAGACGCGGGAAGACCAACAAGCGGAGAGACTAACTCGACATCGCGATCCCTCTGCCAAGGATAGTGAGGCTGCGCTGATGATGGAAGCCCTGAAAGCTTTTCACCAATACCAAGTGTGAAGACGGTCCTTGCTACCTTCGAGCTGCGAGGAAAAGACGAGCTGCAGTTTCACGCCAACTGCAGTTGCATATCAAGCACTGCCAACAATCCGAGCATGCCCTATGCGCTGACTGGGAGGACCGTCACGAGACGGAATTCTGTGATGAAATGCCCACCGATTCCTCTGGCGATTCCCGAGGTTTGGCCGCTCGTGTGGATGCTGATGCCGACATCTGCTACTGCGAAGCGAAACACGTGCAGCAAGCAGCTCAGTTTGCTGTCGCGGTCTGTTTCCCGACCCAGGCACATGACAGATACGTATACTGATTGGGGTAACTTTGACGCGCCAGACCTGTAGATTGTTATTCAGATCCAGATGCTAATCCATTCAATCATCCAATATCGGCCGTGCATCTTGAAATCCGACCAGGTACAGTATCCACAGAAGAGCAGAAATAGAAAGTTCACCCCGTCGCAAAGGTCATTCTATGCCAGCATCGCACGGAATGAGCAGGGTAAACGAGACTTCGACAGCTACGCAGGCCACAGCAGCTGTTCGTAGCAGTTTCGACTTCATGTAGTCTGCTTTGTTCCATATCTTTTCCTCGAAAAATGCGGTCTGCAGACAGGTCGAGTCCTGATCCTGGATGAAGTGGATGCACTGGTTATAGACGAAGAGCCCAATGAGCCGTGTCTCGACGCAAGAAGCAATGTCAGAGACCCACAGTCAAGCTGATTGCGGTGTGCATGCAAGGCTGAGCTCAGCAGCTAAGAAGTGTCAGGAGCATCGGCAATGTGAGCAGTTGCATACAGCTTCAAAGAGCGGCAGGACCAGCTACAGAGTAGTGACGACGGACGAAGGGCCGTTTCCCAGGTTGTCGGTGTTGTTCTGAGGCTGAATCCAGCATAAGGATAATCCGTCGTGAAAGCGCTTGTCGTCGTGCATGCGCTCGTGCATGCCCGTCTGTGCCTGTGTCGTGCCCGTAGAAACAGGGGAAGGAGGAGAGAGGGAGCTAGCTCTAGGGGGGGTGTCGAGTCACGGGTGCGCTTGCACGGGTTGGGGCAGCGCCGTCCGTCATGACTGACATGATGACATGAGAGGAGAACAGAGGGAGTCGGAGAATCAATTAGCGAGCTTGTGTATTCCATGTCCATGTTCAAGAACAGGTAAAACATTCTAGGCAAGTCCATACGTGCATAGAAGCTCAGCCCAGGTTCGTGTACCCAAACACTGAGCCGGGGCCTCACTCAAATCGTTTGAGGTTATCCTGTGGCGTTTGACTTCGGGACTCCCAGGATGTCAGAATCTTGCTTCAGTTTGGAGCTAAACCGCTTGGTTGTATGACACCCTTCTGTCTTCAAGTCTTCAGACTCTAGGCATGGTCTTGTTTGTACGACATGTCTTTTTTTGCCAACAGGCCTGTGCATCACTGAGGGCTCCGGGCACGCACCCACAGATGCAGCAAGAAGCAGCAGCGGCATCAGAAGTAGTAGATGTTGTTGTTAATAGTAGTAGTAGTAGTAGTAGTAGTAGTAGTAGTAGTAGTAGTAGTAGTAGTAGTAGTAGTAGTAGTAGTAGTAGTAGCAGTAGCAGTAGCAGTAGCAGTAGCAGTAGCAGTAGCAGTAGCAGTAGCAGTAGCAGTAGCAGTAGCAGTAGCAGTAGTAGTAGCAGTAGCAGTAGCAGTAGCAGTAGCAGTAGTAGTAGTAGTAGTAGTAGTAGTAGTAGTAGTAGTAGTAGTAGTAATAGTAGCAGCGGCAGGAGGAGGAGGAAGAGGAGGAGGAGGAGGAGGAGGAGGAGTAGTAGTAGTGTAGTAGCTATATATGCGGCAGCAATACCCGTGGCTGCAGTCATAGTCGTAGGAGCATGGGCAGGATGCGAGTGGCCTCCGTGTAAGGGTCCGGGAGGGGAAGGCGAAGGGGTAGAGGTAGGGGTAGGAGGAGGAGTAGGAGGAGGACTAGTGGTAGTTGATGATGGTGATGATGATGATACTAGCGAGACAAAGAGAAGCAACTGCGCGACTATTGTGATGTAACTACCATATCGTCTGGCAGATTTGACGGTTGCAGCACAGGTGCACGAGTAAATCGCAAGAAGTTCCTGTGCTCCTAACTATGCTGACATCGCCTTGTACAACAATGCTGAGCAAATATCACATTCAACAGTCCGCAAATCTAAAAGAATCAAGCAGGCGTGTTCAAGCCGGGACCCTGCGCTTTCAAAGGCTGTCTGAGATTGCGACCACCGTTGCATCCGGTTTACACAGTGGGAAGCGGCCCGGGCGCCGGACATCTTGCGTTAACCTGGAATTGAGTTGGTGTTGCTTGGTGGTTCTGGAGTCCAAGAGTTTATGGCTGCAGTCTTTGGCAAAGTACGAGGCTTGAAAGTTCGGGTTCGTCTGAAATAGTTTAGGGTTTTATTGGCTAAACTAGTCTCGAAAGTTACGGAGAGACCGCAACCGTGATCAGCGGCATTGAGTGTCTTCTCTTCTCAACCACAAACCTCCACAGAAAAAGATGGAGCACCAAAGAAGTGAGACAACGCCACGGTTGACATGCCTGAGCTGTAATTGCTTTCTGTGGCTTATGCAATAACCCTGGGTGTGGATCTTTGCAGAAACACAAGACAGACAGACTCGGCGCGAAGCATGCGAAGTGACTTTCGGAGAGGAGCGAATCGAAGCGCCCGGGACAAATAAAGTCCTCATTCATTGATTTCAGACTTACATCGCCACATTCTGAGGCCGGCTCTGGCCGAGAGCAGCCGTCGTTTCCATGCAGAAGCCCGTGGACAAACCTTCAACTCCTGATTTTCGAACCTCAGGAACCCAGTTTTCAGTTCCTATGTAGGCCCTGAACCCTCGCTTGTAGATCTCGAAACGCAGAACTGTAACTCGCACTGTGAAATCCCAAATTCTGAAACCTCTTTCGCCCGCTAAAGGCTTTATCTATAGACTCCACAACAAGACTGATTCACGTTGCATCGTGCAATTTCCCGGTTGGATAGGACACTTCCTAGACAAGCCCGTCGCAGTTTTCTTAAAGCGGTTACGCCACAACCCTAAAGCAGCAGAGCATGTCCGCGGCGGAAGCTGCCCAGCTGCGCAGCGCTTCACGAAGCCCGCGTCGCAGGCCGACGATTGGCCCATAAGGTGACCTTGTGGGAGTCTCCTAAGCAGGAATCTTGTCAATGATGTCAGGGAACGGTCTAGGGATTGAAATTCGGGAGTTGGCAGTTCAGGGTCAAAAGTCCCCGCATAGGTGCGGCAGGTACAAGTCCCACTTCTTGCCCCGAAATCTTCGACGTGCAACTCTGGAAGGACTTGGGGCGAAGATTCTCAATGCTGCTTCGCCATGAATGCCAGGCTGTGGGACTTGCAGATATCATGCCTCGGACGGCATTCACACTTAGGGGCCCTTAGCTCGAGTGGCCGTCGCAGCGACAGTGACTCGATTGCTTCCTCAGGTGGTGGCGGGCACCTGGTGCCAAAGCTGAAGACAATCCGCTGTCTGACTACGACCGCGATGCATCTTGATTGAGCACGTTCCCTCCGAAGCTGCAATGCCATCAGGGGATTCATGTCTGAGACCATCTAAATACACCATGCCTTCTCTCTCCTCGATCCGCCTGCCTGAGAATCAGCATCGAAAGAACTTCATCTACGCATGCAGCAGAGATGAGTTTTCGTCGCTGAAAATGAACTATAGACCAGAAGAGCCCATGTCCTTGCAAGGCAATCCTGAAGCAGAACCTTTTGTCTGCTGACCTGATCCGATTGAACGAGCATGTCGTGACCTGCGACGTTTGGGCTGCAACTCGAATTCAGGCTGCCGGCTTAATTCCCTCGAAGACCGAGCCCGAACTGGGGCTAAGGAAATACGAATGCCCAATGACTCGCCAGTGGAGTCATAATAGGTATCTGTATGTTTTTGTGTGCATCTTATATATGTTTATATATATATGTGTGTATGTTAGACTTTCAAATTTATTTTTCGATTATGCACTCACACGTCCACGTACACATCGACATAGACACAGACCTCATAGACATATACGCAGACACATACACACATACACGCACATGCACACAGACACACACGTACACACACCCACCGCCATATACACATATACGCGTACACATACACAAAGACGTACACATAGACATACATGCATACATGCATACATACATCCACACATGTTTAATATCATGATATATATATATATATACGTATACACCACTAGTTTCGTACAGCACAGAGAACGGTTCCACAACAGAGACCAGCTTGGCCGAGGACAGCCAAGATTCTCAGACCTCCGAGCCGTCTGAGCCGCCGGAAACATGGCTGCCCAGCTGAATCGGCTCAGGGCGTCGGATATCGAACAGTATTTGGATTTCGATACTCTGCCGGGGCGATGGAACGTTCAGGGTGTGTAGGACATGTAGGACGTTTGGCCGGTGCTTCGCCGCATACTTGGACTTGGAGACGTATGTGCTTGTGCGGGTCGTTAGGGATTGTCGCTAGGAGTGTCAGACCAAAAATAAAGCTTCGGACTATGTTTTCGCACAAGTCAGACGCGTGTCGCTGCCATCCTACATGCCACACACACACACAAACAGAAACAGCTGCGCCCTGATCTTGGGCCAGCACGTGCCAGCCCATCAGCAAAGCAGAAGGCCTCATACAAATGCGAAGGTTCGGGCGGGTCTTATGCTAGGCTGCAGATCACGAGGTGGAGACAACAGGAATCAGAGGCTGGGCTTTCAAAGCTTAAGACGTCTAAAGCACGGTAGGCGGTTGCACGGTGGTTGACACTTGGTGTTGTCATTCCTTTTGATCTTGCTTGGCCAGGTATGAAGAGACCCAGAAGCGCCGCTCACACTTCGCGAAGGCACATGGCTAGGCTAGATTCAAGCATGATGGGTTGCAAGCGGACGTTTCGGGATCAGAGTTCACGCGTTCAACTTAACTGGTGCTGCCCAATTTGTATACGACGGGAGGGGGGTGTAGGGCTGGCATGCCATGTGGAGGTGTGATGCGGGGTGATCCTGCCTTGTGGTGATGATGATGATAATGATGATGCTGTGGTCGGCAAGTCGCTGGTCTCCGTGTCCCAGACCAACGGAGTAAGACAAGGCAGCCCTGACTCGGCAGTCCTCTACTCGTCGTCAATTGGAGAGACGCTTCAGGAACTGCACGACTCGGTTCCTCTGGGCAAACCGGGGCGGCCTGACCTACCCAGACCATCCCAGACCTACCCCCGTGCCCCTCACAAGGGGCGGGCTACATGGACGACACGTAAGGCCATGCAACGATCCATCACCCACCTGGAAGAAAAGGCAAGGGCAATGTCGTCAACGTCGACGCAAATCCTCTGCAGCGAGCCGGATGACACGGAGTTCATGATCGCAGGACAGAGAGTCAAACCCGGGGCGATAGACGACATCATGACAGCCCTCGGATCCCCGCTGACGTTTGAGAAGAGCGGGGTGACAGCCCTCACATCAGACCTCCGAGCGCAGGGCCGCAAGTCATTTCATGCCCACCGTCGGCTCCTATGTGCACGCACACCCCTGGAGTCCAGAATCAAGATGCTTGACGATGACATGCTATGACGTGGACGAGTACGACGATGATGATGGTAGCCGGTGCAGATGGTGCTGTGGTGATGTGATGGTGCTGCTGGTGATGGTGATGCTGCTGCTGATGGTGGTGGTGGTGGTGGTGCTACTGCTGCTGCTGGTGGCTGTGGTGGTGGTGATTGTTGTTCTGGTTGTTGTGGTGGCTGTTGCGTGTCCAACCGGAAACAGCTCCCGGCATCAGCATTCAGGTACTTACCAAACACCAGCGTCGTCGTTCGGCGACTGTTCTGCTGCAGCGGGCATATGTTGAGCCCCTCGGAATAAAGTTTCAAGCAGCTTCACGGGGGCGCGCTCCAGGGGGCAGCAGGCTAGACTTGAGAACTACGGCCGTCAAGAAAGACGTTGTTGGTGTTTGTGTCACCGGTGCATGCTCTTTCGTGGATTCTCAGTTGGGCTTTGTCCCTCGGGCTGTGGTGAGGGGCGCCAGACACAAGCCAAAACCCTGAGCTCAGAATCGCAAGGACAGGTCCGACGCAAGCGAGATCAAGTGACCTTGTTTCCAAACAAACCAGGGGGTGGGAGTCGGAAACAAATATGAACACCGATGCCAAAGATGCTACAACATCCTACGACGAAGACTCGGACTAGCAACTTTGGGTCCGCGGCATCGTTCCTTGATGTGATTCTGGTAGTCACCAGCAGGACAGGTTGCAACCCTGTCGATATTGAAATCCACGACTAGCAATGACAAGAGTCACAATATAGTAGGTAACCGCAACAGGCAACAAGGTCTACTTGTGAAAATCCACGACGTGTCCAGCAGGATGATCTGCCGCAGTGAGGAGCAAGCCCGACGCATCCTCAGCAGCGTGGGGAACCTGCGCCTGGCTTCTCCTAGAGACGTGTGCATGTCTTTTTTGGTTCGAGCATTTGTAGAATGCACACTGGGGCTTCCATGAGCGTCATGTAGACCGAGTACCCATGGGCCCATGGGCAAAGATCTCAGGTGCTACTTTGTGCTGACCCTGCCGCCTTGAACGCATCATTTCATTACTTTGCCGAGGCTTTACTGTCCTTATTCATTTGAATCAGGCCTATGCTTGTTGGGGCGTAGCGGTTTCTGGCGCGGAGGAATCGTTGCACCGAAAAGCCAGCGCTATAGCCGTGAGACTCGAGAGTCTTGCTCTCGCGGCTGTTGCGCGCGCCCGGGAGGCATACATGCACCCGTTCCGGAAAGTAGTGCGCCCTTGGCAGTGGATATACAGCACGCCTGCCCTGTATAGTTGAGCGAGAGCACGTATGAGCACCAAGGCCGGACTCAAGCGAAGACACTTGGCTGCAAGGTCATGATCTTGATTTGGAGCAGCTCCGAAGGAAGTGCCATGAAGTGCCGATGATCCACCAGTACAGTACAGTCTTCTCGTGGCTTTGCCCATGAAGCGAAGACCAATCACATCATGTTTTCGGCTGTTGGTGGCAAGTCCAGCTTCAAGGCTGAGTTTATGCTAAACGTATACGCCAGTTAGATTAGAACCTGGACCTTCTTGTTTTGTTCACTATACATTTGGAGGAAGTTTTCAGTGGGGACGTGTAGCCAGCACGTGAAAGGTGTTGCATGCTCTTGCAGTCAGGGTTCTTTTGCATTCAATATAAATAAAGCACGAAGGTGTCCGTCTTTAAACAAAAACCAGGTA